GCACAATTAGGCTACTATAATAAGCGAGCTGTCAGGGCTGAGAAAGGCAAAAGAAAATCATCTCAGACTGCGAGGAAGGGATCTATTACTATAATGAATGGTAAGAAGTAAATGTTTCTTGACTTTTTTCTCAGAAGCTGTAAAAATATTAACAGTTTTGCTGCCATTCATTATCCTAACTGTCCATTATGTTTTGATGAGGCCAGAAAAAGGCAAACAGAGAAACAGACAGGCAGGGGGCTCTTTACAAAGCTGCGTCTTTAACAGATGGGAAAATCTGATGCTGAAGGTGTTGGACAGTGGGACAATGGCATGTTTCGGGGAAGACGATGAAATAATACATAAAAATAAAACTGACAAAAGGGAGAAAACTAAAGCAGAGAAAAAAATAGACGAGTAGAATACAGACAGGGGATGAAAAGAATGAGAGAATTCGGTAGTGCTTCTTGCAAAAAAAAAACATTGATGACACCCCAGCTCCATTCTTCCGCTTTCCCTTTTCTCTGCTTTTCGCCTCGCAGCACGCCGGGCTAAGCTGGGAGCTGTAATGTCATTAAATTGCAAATGCTTTTTTTCATTTCCGACACACACTGTTTACTTATCTGGCAAAAACATATGTTGGAAGGAATCCGTTAAATTCTGCCCATTGCCTTGGGTGAAAGTGCAATAGAAACGGGCCCACTGAGCTCCTTCTTTCGTCTCCTTTTAGCACTTCGCCTTATCTACAAGGCTGCTTAGCAGCAAACTGGCGAGTTCAATGAAAAATGAAGATACAGCGGGAGATTAGTAAAGAACAGTGAGGGGAAAAATGCTTGGAGAGAGGGTCATCCCATTGCAAATGATTTCACTCCTCTCGATCTGCATAAATGACTATTTTTAAGGCATCTCCAGCGTCTGTATATTTTTCTCACTCTGCCACACATTTAATTTCACGCCCCGTGTTCTGAATATGCTTAAATGCATATCTCAGATGCACCTTTAAGCCAGAGGAAAGAAGGGGGGGGGGGAACGAAAGCAAAATTAAAGATAAAATGGTGTGATTTGCACTACAAGTCTATTACTTTGTGGCATTTACATATAGTTTACCTCTGCAATTCCAAGATTTTTTTTCCCTTCATATCTGCATTTCAGCTTGTATAAATATGTATAAATCTTTGTTGAGAAAAAAATAGTATTCCCAGCAGTATTAGAAAGTTTGAAGGGTGCACTTTCTTCTTACAACTTATTCCCCCTCTCAGGAGAGTTCTGGCAGACGATGATGTGCTTTAGAGGTATGTACTTCAGGCTTGTTCTACAATAGCTGCAGCATGAACTTCATTGTGCTTTTTAATCCTCACAGCACTGTTCAGTACAATGCAGATAATAACAACTGTCCCAGACTCAGACTGGTTAGTTAAAACCGAAGTTGGCAGGACTGAAGTGTTGTAGCTGAAGCAAAACCTTGTGTTTCTTCAAGGGCACAGAGTAACAGTACTGTCAAGCTGCATGCCTGACAAGTTTGCAGTGTGCCATATACCCTTCATCATTCCAGATGAAAGCCACAAATAATGGAAGGAGAAAATTTTGAGTTTTATCATACTGCAATGCAGCTATGGGGGCTCATCCATAAATTCTATTAAAGCTGTAGTGAGTAACTTAAAGTTCTGTTTACACATTGGGACCTGCCTCACTCTAACCTGAATTAAAACTCTCAATCAGAGCTGGATTCTAAGGGAGAATAGGCTATTCAAAGCCCACCTACACTTTATTAATATCGACCATTTTAGATTTGAATACTTCCACTAGGTGCAGCTGAGGCAGTGTAACATATGGTTCTTCTTTACACTTGATAGTATTAGGTATTTATGGTTATAGATCTGTGAATGAGGCTTTTGAAAAAAAATGGCAAACAAAATTAAATATGAAAGGTGACATTATTTATAGAAAACTCAAGGTATTGAAATTTCTGCATGAGATTAAAGCTAAGTGTACAGCAGGTCCTGTCCGTTTTAATTGGATTTTCACTTGTATCCAATGTGTTCTAGTTACTTTCCTGATGGTTGAGTAACGTATTGTTCATTTGGCTCACACAGCAATTGTTCTTTAAGTAATGTGCTGTAATGTTGATGTTGCTTACACATTTTTTGTGGACCATAAAACATGATCCCAGTCTTGCTTCACGTGACAAGATAAGTCTAGTATGATGTGCCATTCTACCTTTTACACAGGATGTGAGTCCCCCCTGCATTATTCTTTTGTCAAAAGACTCAACTGCACAACTGATCTCTTCCCGAAGCTACTAGTACTTCAAGGATTTGAATTCTGTAAATAGCTCCGAAACCTCTCTTATGAGGTCTCCCCCGAAGCACTATTGAACTTATCAGGCCTGCCTTGTGCTTTTTCTGATGGGGGGCATTATGCTGAAATGTAAATCTGTAAGCTTGAAGAGAAGTGGGTGGGGAACTTTAAAGAAGGAGAGGTAACTGTGGGTTTAAAGACTAAATTAAAATAAAGTGAAAGGTTTTTGTTTATCACTCCTGTGGAGCAGCCACACTTCCTATCCAGGGGTCATAACACAGAGAGAATACGCACTGCTGGTGAAGATGATAAGTCCTGGATTGACATCACTCTCTGCAAGTCTGAATACTGAAGTGAATGTCAGGATGCCATGTACCTGTTATCCTATCAAACGTATCTTTAATATACTCTAATCATGCTGGTCTTTAGGTCTTTGGTGCATTCTGCACAGCTCTGATTATAAAGGAGATTCAGAACAGCATATTGCCAACATATAATTATTTTATTGTATATGATGTACATAGCTGTATGACCTTGTTACAGAATCACAGCCTGAACTTTCTATTTATGTCTTATAGATAAGAAACCAGCTACCTTTTTATCCAAAGGTGTTCTGTTTAGTATGAACTATCCCAATGGTTGTGACTATAAATAGTACATAGTATTATACAAGGCAGAGGTTTTATGCTGGAGATTCAAACCTGATGGTCAATGTTTGTGTGCTTTTACTTGCACCAGAAGGCCCGCAGGCTATAATGCATTGTCGTAACAGATTAAACTAAAGGTTTGGATAAATATTTTGGGATGGTAGCTTGCCGTATACAGGCTTACACATGCTGTAGATTGTTAAAAATAAAACAATCAGTTAAATATATGAAAATATTATCTGTGTCATCTAATTTGTTTTCTAGTTTCTAATTTTGAAAACAGGAAGTCACTCTGTCATCTTATTGAATGATATTCCTTGCTCAGTATAACAAATATATATCTCATGCTTGAGTTTTTTTGGAGGTTTGTTATTTATGCCATATCTGTTTGAAATTACACTATATTCAATTCAAAATAGATGAGTCTGTCTGCCCTTAACAGTCTACTTATAAAAACCAACGAGTTAGAAATGAGCAGACAAACTGAAGGACTATTGACAACACACTGCTGCCCTCTAGTAACCAAATTGCAAAATAACATTTTTTAAAACAAGCAGTGGACCAGCTATTGCGAAATTCTTCTATTCTTAAAATAATTTAAAAGAACATAATGTAATATTATAAAGTCATTGTTTTACACAACACTTTTTATTGATTTTTCACTACATATAAAAAAGTGGTTCTCATTATACCAAAATGAATGTATGCAGATTTCTTTAAATGTTGTTAGTGGATGGATTTATGAGCATGTATATTTGATCAAATAAGACCACTTTTTTTTTTCTTTCAAATACAGTTTTGCTTATAACTGACAGCCTATCATAGTGCTAACAGAATCTTAGAAATGTCTTAGTAGAAACAAAAGAGCAGTACATTTCCAGTACTTGTAATGCATCAATAGAGTAAATAACACAAAACTATTTTAAAATTTAATAGATGTACATCCATTTATTTACATCTGAAAATAATGCTCAGCATTTAGAAGCTTCCTATATAAAACATGCATCATTTAAGTCTGACTCATGACTTGTTTTTTAAATTGAATTAACTATTTTAAAACAAAAACATCAACAGTGGTTATTGATGTGATTGAAGCACCATTCCATTGACTAGAAATAACAGTCTAAATATTTTACACATTGTACATACTTTACAGGCACTTGTGAAATTTTAACACAGTAAATGCTGAAGGGAAACGCAATGTTTTTTACCCTAAAGTGACTCATCTTGAACGGAACATCTTGTTCAGAGGAAAAAGATTCAGCATTTGTATTCAAGTATATCACTAAATGTAAAATCACAGAAAACAAAAACACTGAAATTTTACTCTCAAAATCTAGTTTTTTTTTAACTACTACTAAAGGATCTCCTTTTGAAAGGACTGATACTGATAAATCCCATGGTCAATTTAGAACATGGACATGTGTTAAGATTCCTATACATTTATGATTAAAAACTATATTTGAGTATCCATTTCCAATCTGAGAGACAGATTTTCACCTGTGAAGGAGAAAATTCAAAATCCAGTTTTATATGATTTAAAAGTCAGAGGCATAATAAGAATGTTATTGCATATTATGGGAATAACAGAATCTGTAAAGTAACACACTTAGAGATGTACTGTACATCCATGTGTACATTAAAAAACAAATCTCTTGTAAATTTTCTTGCTTCTCCTTTTTGGTGCTCTATAGTTGTCAACACTTTTTCTTGAATTATGGCTTTAATTGTCAAAACAAGCTTTCTAAAACTTAAAAAAATAAGAGAAGGGGATCAATCACAATAAATGAAAGTGTCAGCATAATGTTAAGTTAAATCTTGCCAGCATGAGGTATTTTAAATACTGCTTAACGTAAGGCTAATTCTGCTCTTCTTTTGTTAGAAGCATCTTTTGAAAATGGCACTATACACTATTACTTTTAGCAATTCTTTTTTCTAAAAAAATCACTTTTCTTGTATGATTGTCTGACATTAAATGTGATTTAAAAGTGATTCACAGTGGTACATTTTACAGTAAATATTTCACAAACCATGGAAGTATAAGAAAAAAATAAAATCTTTAGACTGACATATATATATATATTAAGGTCAAGTTTAATTTTTTTCAACTTTTTATTCAAGAGACATAAGTACATAGTTGGTTCAAGTGTTCAAGAGCAGTCCTTCAGGATTTTTGTAACTAGTTTCTGGCCATGGCTTTTTAAACCAGAAGTGTTTTTTTTCTCAATGACAGTACATAATTAAAATATGCAAAGTATACTCTTAACCATAGGAAACCTCTACCACATACTATCTGCAAATTACTTTTTGGAAATAAAACTCAATGCTCTTCACCATTCATTTTTGGCAAGTTTTGCAATTTATGCCAAGCATTGTAATATAAGAAAAAATGAACAAAACAAAAAATAACATCCATCTTTTGTATAATTATCAAATACTTCCAAAAGACGTAATGTATACACATACAATATATTCAGTTCCATTATGTGCTTTATAAATTAAATACATTTCAATTTTTACAGCATTATGAAAATTGTCCATCTATCTTGTTCTTGTCACACACACCCAAGATGTGAAGTGATATTTGCAGAATGTACTGCTTCAACATTTGCAGGAGCTTTTCTGGTTTTCCAAATATGCAACACATGAAGACAGGCCTTCAGAAATGGAGTGCTCCTTGCCTTAGAAAAACCTGGGAGAATTTGTCACCATTGCAAATACTACATAAAAGCTCTTTTTGTGACTGTGATCCAGTGTTAAGAGTAGTATCGCCCTCTGTGCCCACTGGACATGGTTAACGGTAGTGTAACTGAAGACAGAGATGAAACTTCCCAGTACAGACTGCGTGAGAGGAAGAGTCTATACAGTATTACCACAGATATCGACTGGCAAAGAATAACACCAATAGTAATGATCTGTAGAAAAACAAATCAAAGGTAAGAGGTCATCAGACAGTGGAGAATATTTTCCAGTTTTACTGAAAGAAAATCCTAAAAGTCACATTTCTGAGATACTTCACTGTTTTCACATTTCAATATTTACATAAACTTACCTTTTCTCTCCGATAGTCACTGAATACCACAGAGAAAACCACAAGAGCAGGGTGGGCCAAGAACCATAAAAAGCAGCCCTAGAGTTGGGACCAAATATAGAAAAGTAAGAAATTTGTACTTTAGCAAATCTAAACATTCTCTAGAATAACAGTAATAGCTGGATTTTGCAATTCTTCAGCATGCTTGACCATTAATGTGAGCTAAAATACTACTGTGTTGTTGCAGGGTTGTCTTAATACTTTACCTGTAGGCTGCAAACACTGTCTTTAGTAACTGCTGCTGTATTATATTTACTATTGAGTACATTTTAGAATTGTAAAGGTGAATCTCATTTAACCTAAAGAGTAACTCTCTGAGCAACACGCACCGAAAAGGTATGATAGCAAAATTATTTTTTTCTGTGTTTACAATGGAAGTAAATTAGAAAATTTCAGGCACCAGACATTATTGCACATTTAAGACCCAAATGTTATAACTTAAATAAACAGAAACCAATCATTGTGGTAGTTTTTTTCTTTCTGCATAATCCAGATATCATGTGTTATAATAAATACATTTGTTATTAAAATGCACAATTAGAAGTTAAATAGGTCAGGTGAGGAATGTCCAACAAACAACAACAAAAAAAATATTGGGAAACACTTATTTTCAAGGATTTATAATAACAGTTGCAATTATACTGCATGTCTTACAGTAAGGCTTCAATTTTATGGAGAATAATGCCTGATAGCTTGAGACTGATTGCAGGTCTCAAAAGGTCTCTGCTTTAGTAACACTATAGTGCAGTACTCCATAAATAAATCTCGTTTCATCAAATCACGTAATGTCACCAGATAACTTTTTATACCACAAAACAAACAAGAAAATGGTAAAATTTCAATTGATTAAAAACATTAGAACATGCTCTGAATCAGAAGAAGCCCTTGCCCATTCATTCTCTAATTCAGTGACTTTCAGAAAATATTTTTCACTAAGTTGGAACGCAGTAACCCTTAACTTAGCTTTAGTGCTATAGTGATGCACAATGAAAACATTATAATTTATGTAAAAAAGCTCACTGGTTGCATTGTGTTTATTTAAAAAGCGAGCAAATAGGTACTTTGCAGACATAAGCGGCTACAGAACAATTATTCTTTTATTTTAAGTCAATGGAGAACAAATTCTCAGTCACAATGAGTAAATTCTTAATTTACTCATTTAAATTATATAAACATAATGGATAAATAATCATTTACTAAACAAATTAAGTAACCCCTTCCCCCTCAAAAGGGTTTTGTGTACTAGTAGTGTCAGTCTGTTTCCAAGCCAGGCCTTGAACCTTCAAGAACATTCTCAGAAACCCAGAGCTTCTCAGTATTCCCCTGGCACTCAACTCAAAAGTCATGTGCCATTTTCCTCTCTCCTGCATTTCTTTTCAAGTTCTTTATTTGCTCTGCATCATTACAGCCACTAAAAGTTCTTTACTGCCTTCTGTTCACATTTTTGTCAAAATCCTTTTACCCATGGCAAAACGTGATATGGAAAAAGCAGAGAAAAGGACTGAAGTGGCCAAGTGAACAAAAAGCATATAGTACAGTACTGTAGCCTCGTCACATCTTCCTGAACACAACTGTACTTGTTTACTGTAAGAGTACTTGCTTATGATCATTAAAAAAATCTCTTTATAATAGAAAACTTGTTTTACAAACTTGTATTTATGTTGAGTTGCTTGATGTCTCAGCCCATGTGGTATAGGTCTGCTTTTCCCCCAGTAGATATGTTTTTGGATTTGCTCTCTGCATGAAAATGACCTTCAAGTTTAAAGGTCACCATTCAGTGGTAACGTTGACAGCTGAGAGCCAAAATGGCCATTTTCTCTGGGTCACAAAGCATTGGAGGTTGCTCCATAAAAACTGGTACAGTGTTTTATTCACTGACCTGAGTCCAAGTGAACATATGTTGGGCCAGCTCATCAACATGAGACACCAACCTTTGCCATCTGGCTAGAGCTACAAACGAAAAGTTGTTAAACATACGACTGCACTCGATCAGTCAGAGACTGATCAGGGATATGTGTCACTGAGGCCAGGATTGTGTTAATGCTCAGGGAGCTCATGTCTAAGAATAAAGCTGGTATATTTCTATATTGACAGTGTACACTTATACACTTTCTGTTTCTTGATGTGTATTTTTGTTCACATTTTCTCTGTTGTTGCCTGCTACCTATGTTTTGAATTTTTTATATCCAATAGACCTCAGTGCAGCAATACAAATTTCAAACATAAATCAATTGAGACCCACAAATACAAATGAGATTTGAAACTAAGTTATACTGTAAATGACAAACAGAACTAGGGTCTATTTCTTTATGCTGACTCTAGGACTACATTTATTTAAATCATAGGATGCTGTTCTAAACTATAAAGCTACAAATAATCTACAGATCCAACAGAACCAATTAACAGAAATGACTATACCTTAGCAAAGCTTAAGTAAAAGTCTCTTTTAAGTGTGCTTCTCTCTGCTGTAATAATCTGATACAGAATAGATGCTAGAAACAAGGCGATGGTGATCCTTAAAACAATCAGAAATAAGCCAGCCATACTGCCATGGGTGTGGTAACTGTGGTGTTCAGCATCTTCAAACTGTTCCCAGAGCAGCAGTGCCCCCTTGGAAAAGAAAGAGAAGTCCAGTAAAGAAGCAGTTTTCAAGACACGTCACTTAAAACCGTTTTGCTTTACAAAACCTGACAAGCAACAAGCAATAAGCAATCAATAGGCAGCTTTTACAACCTGAGTGATGACGCCTGAGAGTGCTATGGCAGTAGAGGCTGGGGAAGTATCCCACTGCAGGGGCTTGCTTTGCGATTTGCGACTCCTTCCAATCGTCCAGCCCATACACAGGCTCAGAAGCATGTACAGCATCTGAATTTGGGAGACCATGTCACAGACTGCAAGGAAAAAAAGGAAATGCATCAATGTAATGGATGACTTGAACTGCCATCTCCATTTACTGATATCACCAAGACCATATATATTCTTGACCAGTTTGAGACTGCTCTAAGTACTGTACATCAGTCTGTTCTTGGAAAATCAGGACATATAGCCTGATTTTCTCTGTGAGCAAACTGTGGGCTAACTATCCTTCCATTCTATTTACTGTAGTATAGACAGTTTGCCCACTGTTGGACCACAGACAAATTAAGAACCTTAATGTTATGGGAGATTACAGGGTAGTCAGTTATTCTCAACAAATATGGAGATAATTCAGAGAAAGACTAATGGCCAAGATCATCCAGTTACACTATTTCTAAAGAAGATATTTTGGCACTACAAATGTAAAAACAAAACTTTAACCAATTTATTGGCCACTGCTGATTGAAATAAAGACACAGGTACTTCTGCGTAATTAAGATAGCATAAGCTGACATGATGCTTGAAGCATTAACAAGTGGAAACAGTTCCATACAGCTACAGTTCTACAGTAAGCACTACAAGTCTTGAAAGATGACTTACATTCAGCTAGGCTACCCATCAGCGGTGCTCCTATGCCATCCCTTGAGTATCTGTGAATGACATGTGTTGATTCTAAAACTAACAATTCCAATATATATATATTCCAAAATATATGGTGCATATGTAGTGTAAGATATGTATAACATAATAATATTTTTTAAATCATACTTATACTACATTTGAGCCAAACATTTCTATTTGGGAATAACTGATATTTAAAAAAATATATATTTTGTGTATTTTTATACATCAAGAAAAGTGTTCAAGAAAAAGGGTCTTACGATATTGCCCATTACTGCAACTCCAAAGGAGAAAATTCTGCTGTTGCATTTTTTTTAAACTGAAAATTCTCTTAAAAGCTTTTTAAATAAATAACTAAAGCACAAAGTCATACAGTATACAGTATCTGCTCATGTGTTGATCAGCTGCTTCCTAACCAGTGATCACCAGCACATAAAAAAACAATGAAATAAAGAAACATATTGTGCTGCCAGTAAACTTAGTGGATTCTATCAGAGTCACTGACATGCAGCCTTACATACCCATGACCCATACACAAACAGAACTCTTAATTCAGTGAATGTCCCACATACAGTATTCAGCAGACAAATCTAGGGTGCATTTTAAAGTGACACACTGACTTTTTGATAATACAATAAAAAAAAGGTTTTAATTAGATTTCATGACTTCCATTATTTGGCTACTTACAACTTTTCTAACTGATTTTATAGTTCAAGAAATTAAAACTTTTTTGTCATTATTAGAATATTATTTCTTAGTTTTTTTTATGAATAAAAGCACCTTCAACTGAATGAATGAATAAGAATACTCTACCTTGCCATATGAGCGTAGTTTAAGAAAGCAGATGCAGCCTGAAGCAGCAAAGCAATGGTCAAGACTTTTAAAACAGTGTGCATTGGTCCACCCTTTCGAATTGTTTGCCACAGTGGCTGAGCATAGATGCAGGTCGCAACAAAGTATGCAAGTATGAGTAGGAAATAAAAGTCATGTAAACCTGTGAAGAGATTTAAATCAGGTATGAGAAATCAAAACAGAAAAACAGCTAAACATTTGTTCAAGCTAGGAAGTAATGCACCATTAAAAAGATAGAAGGATGGATAAAAAACAACTTATAACAAATCTCTCCTCATCTGTTTTTAGTGAGACACCAGTGTCATTAGTCATGAGGCAATACACAAGAGACCTTTCAATGTACCACTTTTTAAATATGTGATCAGGAAAGGCCATAATTGCAGAATTAGGCATGTCCACTTCATGACTGAAGAAGGCTCATCTGGAAACCTGCTGTCTAGCAACAGACCAGTACCTGGCCTGGAAGAAAATGAGACATGCTTCTCTGACATGCCCATAGTAGAATTATTTATCATTTTACATGCTGCAAGCATAACAGTGTCTGGCAACGGAGTTAGAACCAAATGGAGGAGAAAAATATCTTCACAAAGGGAAGTAAAAGTTTTTAGGCACCCAGCAAGTTGCAGAGGTACAGTAGGTATTGTGTGTTGCTGCCTGGGGAATCCTGGTTGATCAGGGACATGACAGAGGCTTGAGCAAACAATGTCTGGGCTATGGTACTCCACCAATGCTCCAAATGAATGGCTTCACTGGTTCTGTCACTTGGGAGCATTCTCATTCTGATTATTCATTTAAATATTTATTTAGGATTTCTAACCATATTTCCCTTGATGTTACCAGTTTTTCTGGGTAACTCCAGTAAACATCACCAAACGTAGGAAAATCTCTTACCAGCCTCTTCAGCACTGAAGTGATCCAGTGGATTTCCTGCTGAATCAGGGTTAAACATCTTTATTTCAAATGCAGTGTCTTTTAACACCCCAGTGATATCACCCTCTTGGCAGGTGTACCGATCCACGTACATTAAATACCATGTCTGGGGAAACTGGAGCTGTGACATAGTGTGGTTGTGCTCTTCCTCAGTCAGAGTAACTAAAAAAATCACAAAAAAGGAAATGAAATGTATTAATAGTTAATTTATGCCTTATAAACCTTAGGTGAGTTTGTTTTTTGTAAATCTGTAAAAGCATGCAGTAATCATTATTTATATCATTTGTGGAAACATCTATAAGGATCTCTATGGCTATTTGTGGGAGTCAGTATTGCATCACTGACTGTCATTTCTTAAAGGTTAGAAAAGGAAGAATCAAAGATCGCAAAACCTCTCAACAAAGTGTTCTTTTAATAAATGCACTGTGTAAAATGACCATCAAAATCTACACTTATAGTGGATCACAGATCTCAGTGTGAAGAAAAGGTATGGTTTCAAAGGCATTGTGGACTTATAGCCTGGCATTTCTATTGCTGAAAATTCCGTATTTCTGCTGCTGTACTAGAATCATACCAATGGGATAAGCTACTGAGATTCACTCAAATTACTAATTAACAGCCTTTGTAATTTTCTTAGAGAAATGCAATCCTTCTTTAAGGAATTAAGTGAATTCTTTCAATTACAATTTTTAAAGATTTTTTTTTTCTTACACATTATGCTCCCAGAAATGTGTGTGAAACACAATATAGTATTAAGCATATTCAGATAGCTATTAGGAAAGTGGATGAATTTTGCCTTCAACATGGTAATAAGTACATCATTTCACAAATTAAGTATCACCTTGATCAATAACACCCCTTTGAAATGCTATTAAATGAGTTTTTTTCTAATTTCTAGTACATCAAAGCCTGAAAGCTTTTTATTTCATATGATGCTGCCCTTTCATTTTTAGTTCCAGTCCTTTGAACAATACCATTTCCAGTGTGGCTGGCAGAAAGGACTCTTGACAAGGCTGTGGATCATTGTTTCAGAAACAATGGAAGACAACACTGCATGCATATTCTACACTGGTGCAATTAGCAGCGCAGAAATTAACAACACTTGAATTACGCTGATACAGTGCTCAATCACTCATTTCAGAATCAAAAGGTAAAAATATATTAATTTTAATAATAACAACATATAAAATCTATGTGGATGAGTTAGCGTGTGTTATAACAATGAACCTTGAAGGAGATCAAATTAGAAGAAAAATAAAATGAATGAAAAATGCTAAAAAGCAATTACATGGAGGAATAGAGGAGAATGTAGAAGAGCTTCTATTTTTGTGCTCCAGAGTACAAAGCCTCTTCTTTGTAATAGACAGTCCACAGTGTTTGGCAGTTCAGAAGCTCTTTAATAGTATTTCGAATGGCAATGAAGATTAATATTACCATTTAATTTGGCTCTGGTGAGTTTCAGTCCTTTGGGGGTTGAATCTGCATTGCATACTAGTGTTACTTAATGCAGCATTAGAGATTTAAGAGACAAATGAGATTAAGAGCCCGTACACATGATGAAACCTGGCTAAATGTTACTGTACATGACATTTAGTATTAGTAGCACTGATTCACTTTAATAAGACGAACAAAATTTTCTTATAACAGAGCTGGTAGAAATTTAGCCCATTACAGAAAGAGACGTCGCCCCCTAGGAACCTCTAAAGAGCTGAATTCTTCTGCAGAGGGAGCTGGTCTTACAGAGTAGTGGAATTCACTGCTGTCTGCTGGTACTGTGTGACTCTGAAACTGAAGTGTGTCGAGTGTCCATAACAGAACTGCAGTGGAGTCATAGTTGTCCTTATCGCAGTCATTCCAATATAATTTTACTTTTAGAAGATATTTTTGCTTTTTAAATGGAATGAATGTGGTACTCTGTATCTTTTATATAAGTCATTGTTTTAAATCAGGAACAGAAAGTAGAAAATGCTGTCCAAAAATTAAGTTTTAGATAACATTAAGTCAGCAAAAAATTCCTTGTGTAGTTTGTGTAAAGGAGAAAATCCCAGTTAAAATCCTACCATGACACAAAAATGTGGTTACAGACATGTGAATTCTGAGAAAGCACAATGCTCTGTGTCTGCAGCCACACTGCAATCTTGCTTTGTTTAGCAACCTTCAAAAATTAATTTTGACTTTATAATCTCAAACACTTTTAAGTACTAATGAGACTAACAGGCTTCTGTTATTTTTGTGTGGGCTGTTTAGTTAATCATTTTTTCCCGTGTTGCACCAGGGTATTTAAGACATTAAGACATAGCATTAAGCAGAAACTCTTTAGGCTAGAAACACACAGTCAAAAGCTGTTAGCTGTTATGCTTAACATTCTTGCCCTTAAGGAAATATATATCTTTGCTTTCAAAATAATTAACATTTGAAGACATGCAAGCTGTGTACTTACTTGAAATTTGTGCATTTGTAAGGTGCTCTAAACAGCTTAGATTGTCGTATCCTTCTAGAAGGTTAAGCCATGACTGCTCTCTGAAAAGGATCAGTCTAGCTTCCTTTTCGATAGCTGTCTGGACATCCTCCACTCTGCAGTATATCAAACCATTCTCTCCTGGTTATAGGAAAAGGAAGACTTAAATCCATTTATTTTCTACTGTATCTGATAAACATGAGTAAATATTCCACATTCTTTCCTAAGAACTGACCAAATTAAGCAATAGTGATAAATAATATAGACTTACATAACATTTAAGTGTAAAAATACAATCAGCTAGAACATATTAATGGCCACAGCATTACATATATAAACTCATTATAATATAATATAGTTTTGTTTTGGAAAAGACCACAAACTTGTATACTTTTTGTCAAATTAGTGTGTCTTTTTGTTCATGACTTTAAATTAGAAAATGTTTTGGTGAATTTGACATGCTTTCTATGTTGTACATAAAAGTTTAAGACCGGTTTTAATGTATAAAAACATGTTGTTAACGTATTAAGAAAAGCAGAGATATTCTAACCTTAGTAATAATAGTATTTATATACATTAGAAGTACAAAATATATAAGTAGTAGTATATTTTAAAACAATATCTACAGATTCAAAGTTTTTGTCTTTCACAATACATAGCATATGTATATCCTCCTTTAACACGCAGAGTAGTAAATAGACTTCATAAACTATGCAAGGAGGAAACCTAAAATTCTAAAAAATAATGTAAGATGTTTAAAATGTTATTAATATACATATACATCTAGGAAGTGTTTATCTATAATTGATCATTTACAAGTTAACTTTAGTACTTAACTACAAGAATTGCAATGAATTGCATCAATTGTATCTAGGACACCATACAGCGTTTAACCTCTACTCCTGCTCTTTAGCACCACCGTGTGGTAAACTGGTAATATACAATACTTAATACTGCACTACAATATTCTACTATAGCAGACTATATAACTATTTAACATTAATAATACCTACACAGCGATCGTTAATCATAGACCATCAGTAACTATTGTAGCTACAGGGCTGTGAATAAAATTCTAAAGCAAATGTAATGCTTATATTGCTTTCATATTCAAGTGATGAATATTTTCTAAAAAATATATATCTTAACCAATTCTCTTAATATGTATCCAGAAGAAAATGCAGGTTATTTCCTTGCCCCAATTAAATACTGTAATGGGTACACTGTTCTGCATTTTAGTGCAGGTATAATAACACAGATCTTTATGAGCATGATAAATAGTCAACCTTTGGCAAACTCTTAAGGCTATTAATATTTTTATCATCAAACAACTAAAAGCTTCTTTGAAGGCAAATTAATTTCAAAACAATCAATGAGCTGTAAGAAATACCAACACTATGCATTGTGATTTTGCACAGTGGTACAAAATTATAAGACATTGTTTAATAACACATATCCCAAAAAACAGAGGATACAACAATTACAGCAAATAGAAGGATGACTCATCGGGTCTAAAGGTATCACCTAGCAAGCATCTTGATGGCATTGTACTTATTATTAATCTTGTGACATAAACTGACCTTATTAATATGGGTACATCTGCTGAAATACGGAAACAGGATTAAAAGTTTAACCTATGGGCCCCTTTACGCTTAAATGTTTAATATGTTTAGGATTAGAACAATATTTTACCCATTTAAAATTAAGATAAAGTTTAGATAGGAGCACTGCAGCTAATTTGTATAGATTGGATTGGTTGATTGCAACATTTGTAACATTTGAAACAAGTAAGAATCATTTTACCATGACATTTTTGGGGCTTTTTTACTTGCAGGCAAATGTGTAATAATGCTACTACGTTTACTGAAGAATTAGACACCATTTCTGAAAGCAGTGTGTGTTTTAAATAATTACCTTTGTTCCTAGTTTCTTGCTTCTCTATAGTCAATAATAAGCTCAATATTTGGAAAAGCTAAGATTGACCTTACAGGACAAGCTTTTTGGCAATTTTGAATAAACAGAACACATTAACACAAGAAACTATTAAAAAGGTCACAGCTCAATGACGTATTATAGTTGATGTGATAATATTCTACAGAATACCAGAATACCATAGCAGATAACACCCAGAATTATACCACTAAAAGAAATACAAAGTAATATACAAACTAGAAACAACACATTCAGAGCAAAGCGGTTCTATCGTGACTGTAGTGATGATTACAGAAGATTTTTTAAATAATTTATGGTATCATGTGAATGAATGTACTTGATTATATCAGAAGTTATGGAGTGCTGAAAGGACTATTAAAACCACAGTAGACAAGAGCTACACTATCGCTAGTTATTTTTCCTGGTAGACACACGAACTTCTGTGAAACGTCTTTCAGAGAATTGTTTTAAATTGAACTCACCTTCAATTTTTATTGTTAGGCTGCACTGGGATTAGATCGAATACAGTCCTAAATGTTTATAACAACAATTTACAGTGGATTACAGTTTTTGAACCCAGTAATTCTGTATGCAGTGGTACAATAAATGAGTAGCCCACAGAAATATGCAACATTTTAAATGAAGAAACATTCTATATTAAACTACGTTGTCAAACGCGATTTATGGACACCATACTTGGATTTTTTAGTCAACTAACTATACGCACAGATTTAATTGATGTCAGTATTCACCTACCATGAAACAGAAATTTTGTAATGTACTGGCCAATGTTCTCTCTTGCTGTCTCGCTTCTGAAAAGTCCCGATACTGTTTTCCCATTTGCAGATGGCACGAAACTAATACATGCATAGAGCACCAGGAGCATCGGATGCATATTTTATTTTTGTTATTTATATATTATACAACTCTATATTAAATAACCAGCAATGAATGGAAATCAATCTACTACAGTTTCCCTTTGCGTGCACAATTTGATAGACTCTTGCGTTCTCCAATCATACCGCTCCGATCTGTACCTGTGTGGATTTGAAACCAATAAGAAAGCAGAGGAAGAAGCGCACGAACCAGCTGTGGGTCCGCTGTCAACATCAAAGCCCAAGCAGGCCGCCAGCTTGAGACGTGTCAGCACTGCCGTATAGTGCAGGAAATAACGTAAAAAACTGAACGCGGATATTCTCTCAAGAAAAAGTTCCTTAATATATTTATTTAGCGAAATAAAGAATTTGTCCTAAATGGATTGTCATGGATTCAGAAATTCTGTTTCTTGCCTTTATTTACACAATGATATTCACTAGAACTAGAACAAAATATTGACCATAATCCCTTGCAACAAGTTTGTTTTACGACGTGCCGCAAAGCCCTTTGAGTATGTAAATATAGAAAATGTAGCGGTGATATAATTTTTTAGGTCTAGTTTTAAGACCTAAAACTAGGATACGAGAGTGCCTTTGTTTAACCGAGTTGTGTATGACAAGCCATCTGTTGTGAAAAATTGTTTTACAACTGTTTAAAGAAATGTATTGATTTAGCAGGACTAAGGCCAGGGAACTCTTCTGTTAAAATGTCTGTAGCTAAACGTCTGCATCAGAAACACGAATTCTCGGGATTTAAAAAAACTGTGCTGGTAACTGGAGGAGCGGGTTTTATGTAAGTATTAGCTCTTTGTGATTCCTGGACCAAAACAGCAAAAATGAAGGGAATTAAAGCTTCAACCCTTTAACAAGTCTGAAGTTGGGAGCTCTATAAACAGTAGACGTAGTCCTATTAAAAGAGGAAATAGTTTTTCCGATATTCAGTCATGAGAGTATTTATAAAAAGATAATTCATAAGTATCTAATATTTAAATAATTAAGCAAACCTGGTAGAATCAGTGCCTGTATGTTCCCTATACCACGTCAGCACAGATCTCAAGAGGCATACGTATTACAATGTTGACGAAAGCAAAGATGTTTTCTTCTAATGAAATGTATTGATGTCCAATAAAAGCACATAAGACATATTGAAGTCCGTTGTGATAGAATAGTATTTAAGATAGCATATATTTTGCAGTTATTCTTGTTCCGTAATAGTAATCTGTGGATTTTAACTTTGTTTGCTGTAACTGGCATAGTGCATTTATTAGTATAGCTAAAACCCTGTTTTCTTTGTTTTCTAGTGCATCACACGTAGTTATCTCCCTTGTTGAAAAATACAACGATTGGCTAATCATCAACTTAGACAAGGTAATATTGATTCTTTGATCTGTAATGGCATGAAGACATTTAGAACTACACAAATGCATTCATGCAAAAAAAAACCCAGATGAATAATTTTTATTTAAGACAATGGCTTCTCTAAAAATATCTCCTTCCACTTTGTAATTGTGGTGCCAGAAATTCCATAACCTTTATGATCGCTCTCTCAACTTTTCTAGGATCCTGACTACTCTGGGACACCCTGTCACAATTATTTCTCTGATGTCTTTTTCACAGGTTATATCAGTAACATTTCTTACCCCCTCATTCATCCTTCCATGTTCTAACTCCTTTATAAAGTACAGGGTCATGGGGGAACTGTAACCTATCCTCGTGAGCAACAGGCACAGGGCAGGATACACCCTGGGCAGGATGCGTGTCCATCCCAGTGCACATAGTCAAACACTCACACAAGGGTACATTTTCCCAGAACCGAATTAACCGACCATAGTGTCTTTGAACTGTTGGAAGAAACCATAACACCCAGAGAACACCCACGTAAACATGGGAAGAACATACAAATGTAATGCAGACACCTCCTCATTCAATTAAAAAATGTATGCCTATTTTAACCCTCATCTTACAGAATATAAGTTTATATATACATATGGCAATTTTCTTTGATACATTTGAAGCAGTTTACTAACCAACAATTTTGGGTGCCCCGATGGAGGCTGTGATGAACCAAGTCATGTTCTTGTGATTCTGATCTTATAACTGGGAATAAACAAGTAACGAAAGTCTATATATGAATTAGTATTATTTATGTATTCTAGAGTGTGTGGATCTTTTCAGACTTGTACTTTTTAGTTTGGGTTGGGGGGCAAATACAGCAATGAACCTGTTTATTTTTGTACCAATTTGTTTGCTTACATTTGCATAGTGGTTTTCATCCCAGAGGTGTTTAAGGTGAATTTTGGAATACACTCATTCATTATTATTTTTCTTGTATGACAATAAAGAATGTGAAAATTGGATAATGGCCCAGATCCAGGATAAAAAAGCCCTTAGCGTACTGCTGAAAAATAATGTCTTTTTGAGAAGCAATGATCATTTAATTGAAATTCCATACTAAATTTAACAATTAAACTAACATTGAATCCTCTTGTGCATGTTTTTATTTACTTTTGCAGCTAGATTACTGTGCAAGCTTAAAGAACCTTACTTGTGTGGAGCAGAGACCAAATTACAGATTCATCCAGGTAAGAGTGAAATTCACAAACAGAATAAGTTATTTTTTAGATTTACTGTTTAAATTTTATTGGATAGGTATCTGAGGAAGCTAGATGATGACAGGTTCTAAGAGTACAAGTTTTGAAATGATCATAAAAGTGTTTTCAAATGAAAACGGGTGAAAAGTTCTTGAGGATTTGTAATCGGTGTGTAACCTTCATAACCTGAATGCGCAGTCATATAAAATCAATTTCAGTGTTTGCACAAGTGATGTTTAGTTGCTAAAAATATATTTTGTTTTTGTACCATTGTTATCTTGTTTATGTTGCTGTGTTGTAAAATGCTTTGAATGTGTTCGATATTCCATTTATGAAACTGTAATATGGCTTAATGTCAAAAGCCTTTATGGCAATGAGTAGTTCCCATCCCTGGTCCTGGAGGAACACTGTCTCCCTATTTTCTCTTCAGCTGAGTGCTGTTTGATTTCAGTTATTTATTTTGGGGCATATATTTAACCTTGAGTCTAAAAGATCAGAAAGCATTTATAATTGGTATCAACGCAATCAACTGCTCTCATTCAGGTGTGTTGCCTTAAAAAAAAAAACCTCTGCAAAAGGAGAGAATGCCCATTGTAGGAATAGTGTCTGATACAGCGTCCTTCCCACTTATGTCTGTTCATCAGATTGACAAAACTAGTAAGAATTGTTCAGTCGGTAATAATGGCAATCAAGTTGAGGAGTGGCTGTATAAAATTCTGTTTACTGATGCTGTTGGAAACCGTAACCTTGAAGTTTTCGTACTCAGGACTGACTGAAGAAACAAGTTAAGTCTAAATAAGCAAGATTTTCAATTAATTCATCAATTAGCAATGTGATTTAGGGCTCAGCTGGAATGAAGAGCAGAAATGTTCATCTTGCATGAGGGCTGGGAACCACTGGTATAAACCCTGACTACCAGTAAATCTCTAGCCTTCACTGTTTTTTATCTTTATTCTTGTTTGTTTTTCTTTGCAGAGTGACATTTGCGATTCATACTTGATAAACCGCTTGTTTGAGACAGAAAAGATTGATATTGTCCTTCATTTTGCAGCCCAAACACATGTGGGTATGTACAGTTTTTTTGCTTCTCAGAATGTGTTTTTATAGGTTTTCACCTTTTCAGATTTAGGACTATTGTATTTTAAATGGAACACCATTTCATCCATTTTTGCTTGTCATTATTTTATTATTATTTAAGGAACGTAATCTGATCTTAGTTATCTGAATGATTTAACAAGAAATACAGACAACATCAAGTATAGTGAGTGCAGTTAGTTCAAATTGTGATTTTTGAAATCTTTTACACTTTTACAGCCAAGACAAATCCATGAATAAACCCACTGCATTAAAATGTGAAGGGCTTTAAAATTATTAAGCATCCTATGAATAATTGTCATACTATTAGACCAGCTGTATAAAAAAAACAGATTTTTTCACCATTGTTGATTAATGCATTTTACTTTCATAAGGTAAAACAATCCCAGTAACATTGCAGTTTCAGTAACATTTTAAGTATTCTATTATTCTATCTGGAATTGATTAATATACAGTAAATCTCATGGGTACCCTGAGATCAGGAAGAGAGACTATTGCTTTAAATCACTTCAGTTTATAACTTTGCTATTTACAGTAAGGAACTTTGGGTACTTAGATTTGTGTTTGTTCAAACAGTTGGATTTTTCCTGCTTAATATAATGAAATAAATTAAAGCAATGGCTTTGGAAGATATTACTGAAAATAATTTAAAAAAATAAGAATATACAACAGTAAGTGAGACTTTTCTGCAACTTCAAATTACTTGTGTTCACTAGAACTTTGTTTATGTGATTATCTGGGACTCATATCTGATAATTATTTGCTTCTGATTTATTTCTGAAGCTGAAAAGTCATATGGACCACATGTTATTTGCTTCAGTGGCCTAAATCACAAAAAAGCTGCTTTAGAATAAATGTGATACTGTGAGTATGTTGAACAATTACTGCTTAGTATTACCTCTCCATTTTGGCAGGTAGCACTGATGTGTATTGTACTCTGTTTTTAGTCTCATTGGAGTATGATTATGCAGTTCTAATTGCTCTGAATATTTTGAGCTGAATTGTGCAGCTTTGAAACCTTTGCCAGTATCTTTGTCAGAGAACATTCTAAACTACTGTTGACAAATCGGGTACTACATATTCTGAAACACTATAAAGTGTATGCAGTGCATACAGTGTAGTCATTCTAAGGGTTAATAGTAAGCTTGGTATTATTCAAGTATTATGACAAAATAAAGTTGATTTATGTAATTTGTTAGGTTTACAAAAGTCACAAAGTAAAAATATTTAAGATTTCCAAAAATAAATGTATTGAATAATTGTTCATATATACTTCCACATTTTTTTTATCACCTATCCAAAAAGAGTGATTGTACTTTGTTTGTAATCGGTTAACTTGATTTGATTGGATTGGTGGCTGACAGATGTAGTTTTCTTTTGTATTTCCATTTACAGACTATTCTTAAAACATAATTAAATTTAGACATCTGTGTTATTTAATTCAGAAAAAAATAGATTGTATACAGGGGTTACGAAAATAAAATGCAAAATATAAAAACATTAGAATACAAAATACATGTATAAAGGCCACAAGGTTTTATTTTGGTGAATAACAGTTTTGGTGTCATACAGTTTTAAAAGGTAATAATTGTTGCTTATATTAACTGACCATACTCCTTTATCTTCTCAGATTTAAGTCAAAGGTTATTCATTAAAGAAACAAGGAAGTAGTTTATCTTAATTTTTAAGATAAGCTAAAAGTTATAATTGTATATGTTTTGAAAGACACTTCTTTTTTCCAAATTATTGTTTTGCAAATTAATCATCATTTATCGCATAATAAATAATCACTACTGAAAATGTTGTCAGTGTTTTTGTTATAATACAGTGTGAGCCACAAATTTCAGGGAATGTTTTTCATTAAGGAGAAGAGTGAGAATGATTCATTCATGATTTGAGCTTGTTGTTTTTTATTTTAGTAAGTGAAGAGAATGGTTCATATTCTTTCAATACAGGGACAGTTAGGGAAAATCTAATTATAGTGTATGTCTTCTCTTAAGGTTTGAAAAAGGTTCTAGTAATGTCTTTAGCTGTAGAATGGTAATTAATTATATTAAAAAAAGTTTTAAAGTATTGTTTTTTGTTCAAGAATTGTTTTAAAGTATTTTTTAACCACCCCTGTCATATGTACTGTACATATGGTGCAAGTTCCATTGGCTAATGTAGGAAATGTTAGTAGAAATTCAAAACAAATTAAGTAGATTAAAATTCTTTACACATTTAACAACAAAGTTCCCTTATCTTCCGAAAGTCGGTTATTTCTTAACAGCATTTGGAGCAAAATAGCTGTGTGAATGTTTAGCTTCTGTAAATGTTGGTACAGCTTATTTTGAAGTACTGTATACTGTATGTGGCATCCAGCATTGACAGTGTGATATTTGAAATACTGAAAAGAATTTGCAGCATTTTTTTAAATTTGTATAAAATGTTTTATACTTATCTTGCTGGTATGGTTCCTTCAGTTGCATTTATTCTTATGACTTACATAGTGTGAAAAAGATTTTAACTCACTACTTTTTGTTTTTCTTTTCAGATCATTCATTTTGGCTTTCCTCTAAATTTTCACGTGTAAACGTTTATGGTACTTACGTGCTTGTGAATGCTGCACGTGAAGCTGGAGTTGAGAAATTTATCTACGCCAGCACGGATGAAGTTTATGGAGACAGCCTTGATGAGGTGCATCTCTTGCCCTGAAACCTTTTTCTCTTCCTGCGGAAGATATAACTGTCCTTGATATTATCCAGGACAGCTGCACATTTCGCTCTACTCATTGCCCCTTTTACTTTTAAATACTGATTTACTGAAGGCTGATGCAGAATAAATCTAAACTCTGATCAAACCACCTGTGACCCATTTCAGAACTAGTACGGCTGTCCACTGGGCTGACATGAGCTCTCTGAAAATAGAGAGGTGCTATCACATTCATCCAGCTTTTGCATTTGGATTGTGCATTTGGATTTAGCCTGAGCCTATGTTAGGGATTGTGTAAGATTTTATTCTATGTGGCAAGACATAGGATCTTTTGTTTCCAAAAGTGCAAGGAGCTTGTAAGATTAGTTGACATATTGAGATTTGGACTGTGGGGAACATGGACATATCAAATGCGACAGTGCCATTGAACAACTTCATGCAGCTCGGAAATGAGTCTCTTCTGTGCCTATAGCCCATAAAGGATACACAAGTGGTGGTCACTATGTGCTGATATAGCAACCTCTGGTGTGCACTGTTGTTATTCATTCACGGGAATAATCAAATAAAATCTGAATTCCATCTTATGTACACTCTGTGACATTAATTGGTATTAAAAATATAATTTAAGTTCCAGACTCCCAAATGGATTACCCTTGAGTGCAAAAACCTTTAAGGTCTTTTGATTCAGCAATCAAATTGTTTTTTTTTAATACTGTATTAGAATTAGGATAATGTTAAATATATGTGGAAACCATTAATTATATTATATTTTTTTCTGTATCAACTGCTATAGAATAATAAAGCCTTGATGTTTTCCTGTTTATAAAAATGTGAAATGTTACAATTTTAGGAGTTCGATGAGTCATCCCCAAGAAGACCAACAAATCCGTATGCAGCAACAAAGGCAGCAGCTGAACAAATAGCATTGTCACACTGGAAAAAATACAAGGTAATGATAGTTTTAAATATTGTTTAATGCTTTTGCAATTTCAGAAAAAAAGGTGCTTTATGTTTTTTCCCCCATGCACATGAATAGCGTCTCTTTTTAATAACAGTGTTGTTCATGGGACACTTCACTTAATTGAAACGATTAATAAGCTTTAATGTGCTTAAAGCTTACTAATCAACAACATTCCATTTGGTAAATGTACCAATATCCATGGTTTTTAATCCTGTTAAGTGTGATTAAATTAACATTCTCTGTCAGTGCAGTAACTTGAGGAATATAATAAGGTAGAGAATATGAATTCCCTAGGACTTGTGGCATACATGTGAATTATACATTGCCTTTATTAAAAAATTTGTATTAAAATGAAGTTCAATTTTAAATTGTGAAGATCTTTTGTTTTTATCATAGTTTGTGTATTGACTTCAGTTGCATTCAATGAAGAAAATAGGTTTTAAGAAAACAGGTAATTCCATGTCAGTTTAATCTGATTTGGGCATGGATATCTCCAAAATGTATTACATACATTAGGAGGAATGTGGAGAAAGTTATGTCAAAAAGATTTAGAGATATGATTATTTGAAGCTTGATGTTTTTAAGATTTGGGTTTAAATAAACTTCTTTTAAATCATTGTAACGTGATCTATATACTCTACATGAAAAATCTTGTTGTCAATTTATAGCTCTTAGCATGCCTTTTGTTTGCAAAGGTCTGAAAGTTCGAGGTCATCGACAACTCACATGATTTCTCATGGAATGACCCAAACATCATCCATTATATAACTGCTGCATTCAGTTCAAGATGACCCAAACATTCCATTTACAGAAGCAATATTCTTCCAAATATTTGCCTGTTTAATATGTTTTTTTAAGATCGTGAAGTTCTCAGTGCAGAAATATTATGTCTATGTGGACTCTGTGTATATTGTTTTTAAAAACAAAAAGTAAAATTGAATGCATTTGTATTTACAAACTGTAGACATATGATAAAGCAAACTGTATTTGATAGATTGAAAATGGCATAATTGTGTGCTTTTTTTGCTGTCTTATTTATATAGTTCCCAGTTATAGTTACCCGGTGCAGTAATGTTTATGGACCTCATCAGTATCCAGAAAAGGTAAACTTTTTTTTATCATCTATAATTTGTAATTTTGGTTAAAAAAGACAAAACGCTAAGACGTACCCAGTAATTTGTGTATGTTGGTTTTAAAGGTCATTCCAAGATTTATATCCCTTCTGCAAAGCGACAGAAAATGGTGAGTTACACTGTCTAGGTACAGTATATGTATAAGTTTCTTATAACTAATTGTCTCTGAACACTGTGAATTAATACATATTTGTATTACTTAAACTTTTTCTGTGTAAAGTTCCTGACTCTGTGGTTTCAAATCCTAGGCTGTTTTTCAAAAAGGTTTTACCCTGGTGTACTGGCGAAACTTCCCACTGTCCTTTACCAATCATTGTCTCCTAATTATCCCCATTTATGACTTGGCATCACTACCCTGTTATCCTCCTCACTCATAGCCGATGTGTGGTAAATGCACTGGTGCACTTTGGCTGATGTCACATCATCCAGGTTGGTCTACACATTGGTGGTGGTAGAGGAGAGTCCCCATTACTTTTAAAGAGCTATATAAGTGTAAGGATTATTATTATATCTATAATGCACCTGTGGGATATCAAGTGGTGCCCTATCATAATTTTGGCCCTGGATTGACTGGGATTGAGAGGCTTCTATGATTTGTGTTTGACTGACCTCTACATTACCAGTAGAGGACAGGAATGTACCTACATGTGCATACATTACCAGTTAGTCACCAATCACCAGCCCTAATTTAGGATGGGGAAATATAGGCCCTGCTATAGCTCTATATACTAACATATATTGGATATGAAACCTTGTTCTGCATCACTAAACTGGACTCGAAACTAGAGAGACAGAAGCAATATTGGATTTTTGAAAGATCGATCCACTCTAAATTAACTTTAGCATTTTATATATGATTAAATGTTAAGGATTTCACAAGATTTAAACTATTTAGAAAATAAATTGTTTAATAAAAGTAATGGTTTCAAAAGGGATTACAAGTTATTTGCAATATAGCAGCACATGATGCCTGTGTTTTGTGTTAAGAATAGGACATTTTTCTAAGGAATTTGAACTTGGTGGACTAAAATATGTGCATAGTGCTGTCTGCTTTCTCTATACAGTAAATCTTTGGGTTGTAATAAAGAAATTCTGAAAGGGATTTGCAGGTCTTACTTCTGTAATGTCTAGAAAAACAATAACCATTTAATGTCTTCAAGCTTTGTCCATGGCTCGGGTCGACAAGCACGCAACTTTCTGTATTCTGCTGACGTCACTGAGGCGTTTCTGACGGTTTTGGAGAAGGGGGATCCTGGGGAGATTTACAACATAGGGACCAAATTTGAGGTGTCAGTTATCCAGCTCGCCAGAGAATTGATTAGTCTGGTAAGTAAAATATTTACAGTTATTTATAATTCTTAAGATGTTGAAGTGCAGGTACAGACTGCTCATTTTATTACTGTGTTTAACCACAAAATATACTGGAGACCTGGACTTGAGAAACCATGAACATGAGGAAATTGTATCTATAGAATAGCTTCGGACATATTTTTGATTAAGTGATGAAATCCTATGGGCATTCTTTAGATTACAATTTTCAACTCTCGGTAATTGTACTCTGTGAAACATTTTAAATCTAACTTTTGTGAGGCTCTATCGTGTGGTTTTACCCCCAGAGTCAGCTGCTTAGTGGTAGTGACTGAGTTTTAACTTTTGAGAGATACATTGGGCTTGTGGTAGCAGGATGTAGTATATTCCAAGAATTGTGTTCATGGAAAATAAAATGTTAACCGCAAAATTACTTGGAAGCACCGGGTTCATGTGTTTCATGCCAGAAGATAAGATTAATGTAAAAGGATGTTTCTTAAACAGAAAGAAGTGTTCTTTTCTGTTCAAAACCCTGAATGTCTCACATATGATCTGTAAAACTTGTGACTATTGTCTCTCCTGTATTCACATGGTAAGTTCCAGTGTGACCTTAACCTAAAGCTGAGCACAATTAATCCTATATAAGGAAACGTTGCGAAATTGTTGTGACATCAGTGTTCTGACAGCTTTGATGTATTTAAACAATCTCTCTTGTAATATCTTAATATGTTGAAAAACATTATATTTTCTAAATTGTAGTACAGTATAAGACATCCTTTTGATAAATGTGTTCTACTTTAAAATTGCTATTTTAATCCACTGCTTTAAATTTATATTTGTCTTCTATTTGTCATTATGTCATTTGCCAATGTAAATTGCATGTTTTTTGTACGTCCATAATGAATAATATGTAATGGACATAAAATGCATAATGTATTTTTATAATACATATGCATTATAATGTAGACATATTGAATAATTTGCAGTATGTGTTTTTTTAAACATCGTATTTTTGCTCCCATCTTTGCTCAAATCTGAATTTTATAAAAAGGAAAAGTAAAAAAAAATAGTTTTGTGACACTTGTCTTTTTCAGGTAAAAAACATCTCTAAAGATTCAGAAATTGATGACTGGCTCGATTTTGTGAGTGACAGGTAAGGTACTACTTCTGTCATCAGACAATAAAAATATAACCATGGCTTACAGAAAAAAAAATAACTGCAGTAGCCTAGGATCTGTGAGAGATGGTGTTCTGAAAGATTCTGTCAATATCTCTTTGATAAATTAATAATCTCTTAGACATTCTTTCCATCTCTCCCTATGGGGATGGACTTTTTAAAAACCTTTGTGATTCACCTCACATTCATGAGACAAAACCAAAGGTGTAAGTAGAGTACATGTTATGAATACCAATTCCTTTATAATATGACAAAACTGGTGAATCTGTCAATAAGATATATATATATAGTCTACCCAGACATCGTGGGTAATTTTGAATTTCGATTACATACTTCTTTTATAATATTAGTGGTATTTTTAAGTGGAAGGGATGATTAAGATCATAATATGAAATTAAGGTACCATTTACAGATTTTGTTTACTGTATATTTTTTTATCATGACTAGCTTTGTATTCTAATTATTTTGGGTATTAATGATGTGTTAATTAATGCCTTTTTTTCCTCTTAGGCCTTATAATGACTTGAGATACCCAATGAATTCAGAGAAGCTGGAAAGGCTTGGTTGGAGACCAAAGGTTTCCTGGCAGGAGGGGATAAAAAAAACAAGTATGTGCTGTGTTTTTATTTAATGGAAACTTGTGTGCTCTTTGGAAAGACCCATTCACCAATGCCGGAGTTTGTCAAACAAGTAGTTAAATTAAAAAGAGAAATGCTACTGTGTGACTGAAATTCCTACAGCTTCAATTGTCCAGACTCACATATTGCTTTGTAGGCTTTGTGAGGCAGGGAAGAAAATGTGTTTTAAGCACATGCTTGTCAGTGCTTATTTGTGCAAAACAAAGCAGCAAAGCAACAAATCACTACATATCCACCAGCTTGCCTCAAGCGTATAGAGAGGCATGGATAGAACTTTTAAAATCTGCAATGACTCCAACTACTTTATAATCCGAGTCTTATTTTCAGTGGTTACTATATGGTCCTATTGTGAATGATGGTGAATACTTTTATTATACTTACAAAGTATACATTTGATAAAGCAAAGAAAAATAATTTAAAATAATAATTTTATGCTCATTGCATGCTTTTTGTACTTAAATGAGAGAACAAAAAGACTTCTGAGACATGAGTCCCAGTTCCACTATAACAGTCATGGCTTTAACTCCTGTGACTTGGAATTTTAGCACATCAGTCACATTTTGAGATTGTATAAAAATGTGTGTAAAGTTCCATTTAACAAAAAGAAGCTCTGTTTGTTTGCCTTTGGGCTGAGTTAACCCATTAGTGCCCAATAAAAGAGATAAAGACATCTCTTTTCCTGGGTTTTGATCCTCTTTGAAGGTTCAAAACAAAATAAGTCTTTTATTTTTTAATTTAAAAGTTGGCTTAAGCAGCAAATGCAGTTTTTTTTTCCAAAAAGGTTATTTGTTTGTCATACCAATTTGTTCAGTCATTAACTTTAATTTAGATTTCCGTATGAATGTGTTGTTACTGTCTGCTCTAACTAGTCATTATGATTTTCTAAACGTTAGGGGTTGCAGATGGAAATCTGCCATTAAATATTGAACTCAACTCTGAATCATACATTTCAGTTTACATTTTGCTAAATGTATGCAATATTAGTTAGATGAATACACTCTCTAGACGTCCTGTTTGAGTAGTTTGAATATTGAATTTATAAATGTATTTTGAAATTAAAAGAAAGTTTTAACTAAACCTATGCTGAATAATTTTTTTGTAATATCCCATAACAGACATGCATATTTTATTACATTAGGCTGATTTAGAAAACAACCTGGGAATGTTCACAACCTACTTTGGCACATAAGTGGCCAAAGCCAGTGCAAGTACAACTGTAGATGTGAATTATTAGACGTTTAAAAGTTCTAAACTTATCTGGAAAAACACTTGGAACATTTTTTAATTTTTATTTTTAGTTTGCACCAAAAAATGCAATAAAAACAATCCTTTTAATCTAAGGGCATTTTCTTGTTTTAACTCATCTAATTATCATCAGCATATGAGTGAAGATCAATTTAAAATTCTTTGCCTCTTGAAACTAATAACATGCCTGGGATGCACTTAGATCTGGCAAATTAAATATTTTTCAGAAGATGTGACTGTTAGATAACTCTTCACTTTATTTTTTTCAAATGCTAAAAAACCTCTCTCTCCCACTGTGACTAAGTGATTTCAAGCTGCTATAATTATACAATTAATCCACATGCACAAAATTAAGAGATAATTGACGGTTATGACTTCAAATACAGAAGGCCCCCAACCTTTTGTCAGACTTTGAAGGAAATTAGCAGGTGTCAAAATCAGCGTAAAATTAAAGTGAGCATTTTGTAATAATTTTCCTACAAGTAACAAAAATAAAAAATTCAAAAAGTACCAAACTTATCAATAAAGCCTACCAGTAAAATGGTGGGGAACAGCATGGAAAAGGCAGAATGCAGAAATTTAAGTTCTTAAATATTGTTTTTTGTGTTTTAGTTGACTGGTACAGCAAGAACCTTCACAACTGGCCAAATTCAGAAAACGCTCTGGAGCATTTCCCACCGCTTTGTATTAAAAGCTAAAATATCAAGATGGATTCAGAGAAAAATCTGAAAAGTCTTTAACATGAGATCTGAAGCTAGACCTTGACATTGTAACATTTGTGTAACATTTTGATGATCTTTTGTATGGCATTTAAAGTTAAAGAACAAACATCTTATAGATTATCAGTTTTATATTTGTATTTATTACATACTATATATTGTACATACAAATGTTTTCTTATACAGAGATCTATATTAAGATATTTATGTGCTGTACTGTGCTACAGCTTGAGCAACTATTATGGGAGTTTTTAGATTGACTGTATCCATGTAATTATGTATAAATGGTCAAAGATAGTCATATTCTGTAATAAGTCTACATCTTTGTACTGTATATTGAAAGTTAATTTTTGAATACATTATGCTGTTATTTTGTTTGTTGCTCAGTTTTCTAAGCTCCTTCTGTAGTTTTTCTACTGATTTGACTCGTTCAAGTGTTTGCTTGTAGCATCATGTTATGATCCATTATTTTTCCTATCCTTGATTCTAATCTTATTTGTATGTGAACTACAGTTTTCTTAGATCATCTCCATGTTTTCTGAGAAAGACGTTCACTTAACTGTACTGCGCTAACTGTAAACATTCTTAAATCAATCTATTTTTATGAGTAAAAGTGTTATTTTGCATCTTCTAACACGTTTTTCCTTAGATAAGTTTTTGTAATTTCCCCTGATTTGAAGTGGCCAAATATGTATTTTTCACATCTTGGTTTGTACCACACAAGGGATAAGGAGGTTGTGTAGGCAATCTCCTCTGACCTGTCCAACTTCAAACTGTTTATTTTTCCCAGTGCACAAGGCAGCACAGCCCAGAACAGCACAAAATCACAGCTTCAGCACAGATGGGAGGAGAACCATATTTCTGAGTGACAGTGCCACACGTCCCCCAGGAGACTATAGAGATCTCAGCATTGGTGATAGCCACAGTTGACACTCGCCTTCAAGAAACTCCGTCTTGTTTGAACCTACTAGCACTGTATACTATACAACTGAGGTGTAATCTGCTACCTGCACTATACATGTTCATGCTTATTTTTTATGTTTTATACAGTATCATCCATATAAAACATTTCTCTAAATTGAAGCATCAGATAGTCCAGATAAAGTACTGTGATGCAGTGAGGCTTAATTTGAAAGACCTTTTTTTAATTTATGACCTTTGTCTACTGAAAAAAAGATTAGTAATGTACATCCACTGTATCATTTTATGGTTTGAATAAAATACAGCAAGAGCAAAGTTCAGAGCACAATAACATGTGGGAAAGCATGATATAAAGCCCTGTAAACTACAGTAAAGCAGAACAAAAGGGGCTTAGAGCTCACAGACTCCTGGATGCTTTGTCAAGATTAATAAACTCCAAAGCAAAAGAAAGTAGAGGTGAGTAGGAGAGCTTTTCAGGACAAATCTTATACATCTGAAGTTGCTTCCACATAATAGAACTGGCATCTTTTATTTCTTTTTTCAGGTTTTGGTTGTAAATGCAATTTTTGTTTCTGATTTATTTATACTCTTTCAATGTCAAATACTGTAAAACAAATCTGGATGTCACCTTAATAACCATTGTGTATTAAAGGCAGCTAAACACCAGAAACACATCAGTGTGAAGAAAATCAGGGAATTGTGTGAAGATATAAGGTAAAAGATTATCAACCTCAACCATTTGTGAAAGCTATAAACAAATCCATGAGTCATCCCTGTCTTTATTCTGTCCATCATCTAGATGTTCACCAAAATGACTTTTTTTTTCCCAAATGTGTGGTTAGAAAAGTGTTTAAGGATGCTAATTCACACAGAAGGGCAACAATTCAGAATATTCTGAAACTAGCTCCATCTGTTTACAATGTCTGCAAAACTAATTCAAGATTATTATCATGAATCTAAGGTTGGTGGCAAAGTTCAGTAATGCTACACAAACGAAAAGAGTTGAATAAGCAATAGCAGCTAATAAGACTCCCATGTCAAATGGATCCAAATAATGTGGATGGAAGGAAAACGCAAAACCCCAGCTTTTGAGCATTGTCTGGGGGGATATTAGTGTGAGAAGCTGAAGCTTGTGCAAAAGAAGAAGGTTTCCCCTATTGTGATTAGTAGAAATGGATTTTTTGGGGTTGTTTTGTTTCCTTTTGGTCCTGGTCTCCTAGTTAGAGCTGAAGGACAGTTTTGCTTCAAGATTTACCAGGATCCTTTAGCTAAAAACTGCCAGAAAAGTTACTTCTATCAATCTCAAGCTTAGGTGCAAGTGGACTTTATAATAGGATAATACAAAGCCTGCATTGAGCTCATTGCCCAGATGGTTAAGAGACCAGATCATGGTCTGTAGTAGAATATTTATGGTATGTTAAAAAAGGCAGATGAAAAGGAAGCTGGATGAGCTGGGAAAGATATAGAAGAGTAGTTGAATATATCTCAGGAGAGAATTAAGAATCTATTAATTTTATTGGAGGTGTCTGCTTCCTAATACTATAGAATACTGATTGCCAGGGATTTAATGCATTTCAATAACTATTTGGTCCAATTTTCTCTATATCAATTCAATATTAGATATAATAAAAGTCCTTACATTTTTAGTTAACTTAAAATAATGTATAACTGCATTTTGATGCTAAATTAGCTTTGTTACAGTTCATAAAGAGGGTGAATACATGTAAAGCCTTGTTCCTTTGATGTCACTCGTGCGTCAAACCTATCTTAATTCGAGGTTTGAAGGGCGCATAATGTTTAGAGGTTGGAAAACGCAGAACCGTAACATACTGTACAGCTCAGGAATCCTAGACTTCTAATCCACTTCACATGATTACAGCAAAGAAGTTGTACATCTCAGCTCTATAAATTGACAAAGAAAACGGCAACTTTGACATCAAGTTTTTTTTTCATGGTAATTGGATATAACTGGAAAAGTGTTACATTTTGTTATCCATCATGTATTCTACATTTGACATCTTCCACAGTACACATCTTTTTTCATACCAGTTTATTAGCTTATTACAATTAAAGGGCATTGTGGTTTGAAGCATGCCAGTATTCATCCACGTATATACAAAAATGTATTGCATATAAATGTTAAGAATTTGCAGTTTTGTAAATTCCTATCTAATACTTGACAATGAAATTTATGTCGCCTATTTTTCTATTTTTTAATGCAAAATGAACTTCCGTAAATATAAGATTCGAAGTTTCTTATATTTCGTTTTTAATCATGTATTGCATTTTTTTTAGCATATGGTTAACTAAGATTAAAATATGAAAACTCGTGCACCTACTCCGACAGACACAAAAATGTACAAGAATGAAAAGTGGGGGGAAAAGAGCTCTCTGTGCTATGTGGAGCCCCCCTAACCAACATCATCTGAGATAATGTATTAATCACTAGTCAGGTGATAACCACGGGACCCCGTTTTGACTTAATCCTTCTAACTAGCTCCGCGCCAATATATAAATCGACCACATTATTTAGGGCTGTGAGCAAAACCCGTAATGCGTGTGAGATAGTGAATTGGCAAATGAGAAAGGCAGGCTTTATACTGTGTCGAATTTAAGATAGACTGTTTTTATTACTGCACACTAATTTTATCAAGTTCAGGCTACATTTCAAGTTTTTATAAGTGTTAAATTGCCGCATCAGTGTTAAACCAATTTGATACGTAGTTAAACTTTAGAGGAGCGTTAACATTTTCTACTCAGATTGGCGAGATGCCGAGAACGCTAATTGCTTTCATGCTTTGGTTTTTCAGCTCACAGAGTTTCGTGGGAGCTCAGTTTCCCAGAGCTTGCTCTACGGTAGAAGCGATTGTCTCAAAGCAGTGCTGCCCTCTTCTTAGCTCGAATCCCGCAGACATATGTGGGGCTTTGTCAGGGCGAGGAAACTGTACAAATGTGCGAGTGGTCGACAAACCCTGGAGCGGACCTTACCAATTGCGAAATGTCGATGACAGGGAAAGATGGCCTTTGAAGTTCTTCAACCGGACCTGCAGGTGCTCGGGTAAATGCTTCGATCTGTTTTAATTGTAAAACACAAGATGAGTTTTGGCTTTGATATTTTAACACTTGGCTTGATGTTCAAAAAACGTTTTGGCATAAGTCCACAGAACCGTGAGGAGAGTTATCATGAGCTACTGTAACACGTGCTCCCCAAATCTATTTTTTTTAAATAATTTTTTATTAAATTTGTAAAGAATTTACAAATAGAAATACAATCAGAGGATCAAATTAGGTACAAGAGAACAAACACAAACAGAAAAATAAACAGTTAACCGCCAGGGGTAATAAGTAAGTTATATGATAAAATTGTATTTTTTACATATATCATATGTTTTCCGTGCTTTATTATTTCTCACATTTTTAATAGAATTTAAATAATGTTTCAGCTCCACCTCAAAAGAACTAAAAAGGGGAGTATGATTAGACCATTTGGATTTATGGATGTGAATTTTACCAAGAATGATTAATAAATTGACTATAAATAAATGCACTTTTTCCAAATTTTCTACTAAACAGTACAATAAAATGTCAAAATCTGCTCCCCAAATCTATCCAGAATCTAACTTGATGCTCTGTGAGGTAACTAAGAAGGTAGTTCACCTTGTATAATTCAGGTTTTCAAACTTGTCTAGCTTGTGGAAACATTTTCAATAAATCACATTCAATGAGGACAAGTATGTAAACTAATGGAAATCTTATTATAAATAATTCTAGTCTACAATTTATTTTGCAGTATTTAAATGCAGGTCAGCATATCTGCCGTGCTCCTTATGTTAGTACTTGTAACACTGTAAGATAGTGTTGAGTACTGGCAAATCTAGATTTTTGGTGAAAAGGTTTCCTTTGTTTCTGGGGACTCCTGGACAGTCTCTGAAGACCTGCCCCCATCAAGGGTCCAGCTTGAAAATCCCTGCTTTAGCCTAATCAATCAATCAATCAATCAATCAATTTGCTCTAGCTGCCTTCGTAACATTTTGCTTCAGAGCGCTATGTTCCTGAAATAAATTAGTGGTTAGTGGTTAGTGGTTGTTATTTGTACATCCGCAAAAATGCTTTCTCCGGCGTTGGCTGCACTTTCATTAATAGCGGATAACTCATACAAGTTAAACTCTTAATAATGTGCACATTAGATCTACGCCAGTAATTATTTATATGTGATTAGGATATGTTAAGAAAACAGAATGTTTTTGTCATCTGGAGTTACTTGTGCAAACATTTTTTTTTCCAGAAAGCAATGTGTAGATTCTTTAAATAACTGGGTACTTTTTAACCAGCAATGCGCTATCAAAAATGTGAACAAAACATAAATTGGTGCAAACAAAATATAGGTACCTTAATAAAATCATTTAACTAGTAGCTAGCAGCTGGTAGTTAACCCCTTTCAATTCTCTGAAGTTTAGTTTCTTTAATGTATTTCATTTACTATATTTTACCATTGTTTTACACCACAGATGATTCACTTATTGTAGGAAGAAAGTACTATGCATAAAACCAAGTCTACTGTTTGGCGTATGCATTTTAAAATTGCTGAGAAGTTTTAATTGTCACTTTTGGTGTGAAATTATATATTTAACTAGGGAACTTTGCTGGGTACAATTGTGGAGAGTGTAAATTCGGCTGGATTGGGCCGAACTGTGAACAGCGAAAGCCTCCTGTAGTACGAAAGAACATCCACACTCTGAGTGCCGCAGAGCTGGCGGAGTTCCTCGATGTCCTGGATCAGGCAAAGAACACCGTCCATCCAGACTATGTCATTGCCACCCAGCACTGGCTGGGCCTGCTGGGACCCAGTGGGAATGAGCCACAGTTTGCCAACATCACAATCTATAACTATTTTGTGTGGCTTCACTACTACTCTGTCAGAGACACACTTCTAGGTGAGTACTATAAATTAAAACATTTTTAATAATAAGCTGTAAGCAATATTCTCTATATGTTTAGTCATTTTTATAGTTACTTAAAATAAGTTCATAATATGTTTTACAAATGGAAAGGGACAGAAATATCCGCATGTTATGGTACAAGTACACTATGTGGTATAATGGGGATAAAGGCAAGGCATTGCACACGAGGGGCAGTAATATGGATTTTATGTGTCAAATGAGTGGCACTAAAATGGGAAAAACAATACATGACAAAAAAAGGGATTTATATGGATTAATCACTTTTTATGTCTAAACAGTGAAAGGCAATAATAAAAAGACCATTGAAATGCTTGGATATGTTGTTAATAGTATTGTAGAATTGAAGTCTAGGGAAATCATGTTAGAATTATACAATCCATCAGTTAGCCCTCACTTGGAATATTGTGTTCATATTGTGTTTACCATATTACAAGAAAGATATTGCTGCTCTAGACACAGTACAAGAAAGGGCTTCTTGATTAATTCAAGAAGGAAATGTGAGACTCAGAGTGAATTGAAGTTTACATGGGAACTTGGTTCTGGTGTTCAGTATTTTGAAAGGCTTTGTCCCAGTCAGCAGTCAACTCCCACGTGTGAGGAAATGAAAAGTTAACCAAGTATCTCAAATGATTTAACAAATCAGTCAGGAAAAATGAAAGCATGAATAAAACAATTGAATAAACATGGTTCAGTTAAAGAAAGGGAAAGCAATGAATTGCAAGCATGGGCAAAATGATCTTAGAAAGGGCAAGAGATGGAAAGGTATATTACAGTAGAGGCTAAAATAAATAGGTTTTTTCAGTATTATAACAGCAAAGGAACCGTAAAGGATGAAGTCAAATGAAACCGGGACAATAATGAGAAATGTCTAGACAATAAAATGGAAATGGTTGATGTACTAAATGTGGATTTCACTCAAGTGCTCACTAAAGAAGAAGTCAACAACATGCCTCAGGCAGCGACAAAGTGCAAATTCTTTATTAAATGATGCAAGCATAGAAGAGGCAGAAAGGTTTGGGGTATTAAAATAACTCAAGTGGTATCTTATCAAATGTACTTGGGAAATAAGAGATGCTATTCAGATGCTTTTGTGGAATTTGCAGTTAGTCACATTTGCAGACAATACCAAAAAAAGAAGTATTAGCCAACACTGTAGAGGTAGCAAATTGACCACAAAAAGATCTTGATGAAATACAAGACTGGGCAAACAACCGGCAGGTGACATTTAATGAAGACTTATAATAATAATAAACTTTATTTTATATAGCGCCTTTAAAGGTGGCTTCTCAAAGTGCTTTAATGAGGTGTAATATTTAAGTACAGAGTGTTACATTCCGATATCTAAAACATAAAATATAAATGCAGAAAAGGAGGTTTATTGTTAGAGTCCCCTGGAAAACACCTCTATGCTTAGCACGACCAGATAGGACCAGTAGATAATAGTTAATAATAACAGTCTCTCAATTGCAGGTTATTTTTGAGAAACTGGTTATATTAGAAGTGAGGGGAGAGGTATGGTTGGCTCCGCTGATCTTTGTCAAATTGAGAGCACTCTATTATGTTAAAATTGAATGGTAAAACCATCTTATAGAATATATGGCACACTGTGATCGATATAAAGATATTGTTCATCTAGAATCAGGCCAGCAATCAGCTATGTTCCAGGGCTTAAATGAACATCCTGCACTAACAGGCTAAAAGAACTGAACGTTGTTCTTTGTAAAGGGAATAGACTATGAGATAACCAGGGTACATCTTTAAGAGAGTAAAAAGAGGTAAAATAACTGTAAAATGTTTTGGAAACCTGAGTATTTTACAACATTGAACAAAGAGGAAAGAGAAACAGGGTGACAATTCAGCATTAAATGTTTATATAAAGGAAAAGAATGTTTACAGCTTTTGTTATTTGGCCAATTTCTCTGCTTCTCTACCAAAGGACCAGGTCGTCCATTCAAAGCAATTGACTTTTCACACAAAGGACCAGCTTTCATCACCTGGCACAGATACCATCTACTTCAGCTGGAAAGAGATCTGCAGGTTAGATTATGCTTCTGATACTTTATACATAAAACTAAATCCCTGGGGTCTCAGTTCAGAACTGTAATATTAATTGTACACAATTTCTCCTGGCTAGCAATGTGTTATTTAACACTGCTAGTTTAACTTTTTAATTGTTTTATGGGCAGATGATATTTTTTGCTTTACCTCTTAGTGGCCAGAAAAATGTATTTTCTGTCAGTGCTTTACCTTTTTTTGCGCTTTTTTATTGTGTTTCCTAAAACAAAATTGTTACACCCTTGACTGAAAAAAAATAGCTTGCAAGAGTTATAAATTAATGTTGTATTGTAATGTAAAGCAGTGATGAGTGTAAAAGAGGCTTATTGCTCAGAAGGGAGATATATTATTCAGGTTCAGGAAGTGCAACATCAGGAAGAAAATTCTTGTATCCACCTTGAAGAAATTTCACTTTGGTTGTTTTATATTCTCCAATACACACCACAGTAATACACCATTTTTTTTCTTTAATAGCATTCCAGTCATAAAAAGATATGTAGTACTTGCACATACTAAGTTTTTACACACAAACAGTCAGTGATTATATTAAGCTGTTACTGTTAACAATAGATGAAAATGTTGTGATGCTGTGCAGGCTAACCTAAAATATTTGTCTAACTTTAAAGCCAATCAAATTATTTGTATTTCTTCCTCTTTCTTTATGTCTTAGGCATTTTTATCTGTTAAGTATTATCTGTTTTTTTCCCCATCTTGCAGAAGCTGACTCGGAATGAGAACTTTGCCATTCCGTATTGGAACTTCGCTACAGGATTGAGTGAATGCGATGTGTGCACTGACTCTCTCTTGGGAGGACGCAGCTCCAATGACCCGTCTCTCGTCAGTCCTCAGTCAAGGTTCTCAAACTGGGAAATTGTTTGCAACAGGTAAGCATGAAAGTAAACGTGTACAAATGTGCACAGCTTTAAATCTTATAAATGCTTAACACTTTTATTAAAAGCTCCTGTATTTTGCTGTGTGTAGCAGAAATCCAGTGTTCTGGTTCAGAATGTCAGAAATACAATAACTAGTTATGCATGAATAGAGTAACAACATTAAAACAGTAGTTAATAAAAATGATGTAAAATTAAAATCTAAAAACAGAAATTCATACTGGTTATATGGTTAATCAATTAATGCCTTCAAAGTGTACATTGTTGTTTAAACCATTAAATAAAAAGCTAGTTTCAAAAGTTTTGCATTCACGGTACTTGCATAAACTCAACTGTTTTAATATATGCTTGAGCTATTCAGCAAGATTTCGTTTACAGCTGATACATTTTTTTTTTGCAGTTTGGATGATTACAACCGTCTGGTCACCCTATGTAATGGAACAAATGAAGGTTTTCTGAGGAGAGATCAGTTTAGTACGAGGAACTTCAGTTTACCAACTATGAATGATGTCAGAAGTTGTCTCAACCTTCGGGACTTTGACAGTCCTCCTTTTTTCACAAACTCAACTTTTAGTTTCAGGTAATTTTCTTAAATTGCTGTATTAACAATTTTAATGTAGTTTATGTGGTATAGATGGATATTCTGTTAAAAGCTTCATAATATTTGCTTCATTGCAAAGGTATACAAAAGTAACAGTTCTGAAACACGTTGATTTTTATCTAAAACGCTATTTTAAAGGTAACTAAACTGTGGCATACAGTAGATATACAGTATAAAGCGCAGCATTTTCAAAGATATCATTACTTCTGGTCTCACACCTGTCCTCTAGTGGAAACTCTGAGTAAATACACCTTATATCATTTCATGGAATTGAAACAATTGGGAAATGTGGCTTATATTAAATCATAACTTAAGAACATTCTTTGAGAATACCTATTATCAAGCATGACTTGTATAATTTTGCAAATAAGCATAATTCATTCTGAACTATTAAATTGAATCAAAGTATTTTGATGGAGAAATAATTGTTGCAATATTCCAAATTATATTGTAGTCAAATAAGCAAATTGTTACCATCAGAAACACAAAATATAATTTTACATTTCATGTTAGCATCATTTTTTAAGTATCAGTCTAAAAGTTACTCCAGTTGAGGCAGACTAGCTGTTTAACTTAAATTTGCATGTTAAGCTTTGTTTGACAAAAGCAAACTATCCAGCAGCTGGAACTCATAGTTGGGAACTTATTGACGCTAAGCAGGTGTGAACCTGTACAGTACCTGGATGGGAGACCTCCTGGAAAATCTAAGGTTGCTGCTGGAAGAGGTGTTAGTTGGATCAGTAGGGAGTGCTCACCCTGCTGTCTGTGTGGGTCCTAATGCCTCAGTATAGTGTTGGGGATACTATACTGTAAGCAGGTGCCGTCCTTCGGATAAGATGTAGAACCGAGGTCATTAAAAATCCCAGGGTGTTTGTTGAAAAGTCCTGGCTAAAATTCCCCTGGCTTTTTCCAATCATGGCCATCTATTAATCCCCATCTATGAATTGGCTTCATCACTCTGTTCTCCTCCCCACTGATAGTTGATGTGTGGTGAGTGTACTGGTGTACTGTGGCATCCATTGCATCATCCAGGTGGGTGCTACACATTGGTGGTGGTGGAGCGGAGTCCTCATTACCTGTAAAGAGCTTTGAGTGAAATGTCTGGAAAAGCTCTATACAAGTAAGGATTATTTCTTAAACCATTTGTTTTTTAACTTATTTTCCAATTCAGGGTTTCAGGGGAGCCAAATCCTGTCTCAGCCAGCAATGAGCATAAAGCAGGGTTCACTCTTGATGAGATGTCAGTCCATCACAGGGCACACACAGACACAAACACATTCATACCAGGGGCAATTTTCCCAGAACCCAGTTAACCTATCCGTATGTTTTTGGAATGTGGGAGGAAACCTATGCAGGCTTGGGAAGAACATAAAAAATCCATGCAGATCGCATCCCAAGTCTGGAATGGTACCCGGAACTCCAGCACTGCAACATATCAATGCTAATCATTGCGTCACCATTTTACAAATGCAAACCATATAACTTTATATAGTAGTCATTTTCAATCTCAGCTTGTGCTTCAAATTAAAGGACTGAAATTCAAGAAAATCTACCTACTTATCAGCATGTGATCAGATGCACTCAGTATGCATTTACTGTATCTTATTAAACAAAATTGAAAAGGAACTGTGCCACACTACATTAAATATCCATGCTCAGTGAACTTATCTGTTATGGAGTTATTATATGAAAAACTTGTAAGTGAAAGATTTAAAAACAAAAATGAATTCATTTCACTTCTTGGTTTTCACCATGTACCCTAGCTGTACTTTGTAAAAAAATTCAAAGCTAGATTTTACGTTTTTGGAAAGTAACTATACACATAATTTTTCAGTATTTTCTTTTCATCAACTATTTGAACAAAAATGTTTACTGTATAAAAGGATACCCTATGGACTATACTGAAGAATGTACATTGAGGCTTAAGGTTACACATGCAGTCCTGGAAAATTCACTATTGCAAAGGATTAAATAGAACTGCTTTAAGTCATAGCACAAAAAGAAACAGTTTTATAATCAGAGTAGCACAAAAAAGGATGTTTTGCATTCCTAAAATATATTTAAAAAAATGATGAAAGATGTGTAGCATATACAGGAGAAAAGAAATCTCTTGCATTACATTTTGAAGTCATTTGAAGATGCAGATGCAGGTTTAATTTTCCAGTGTGCATGACTGCGTGATCAGCTGTTTTTTAATCACTTATTTAATTAAAAGTAGTCATTGTTTTATTCACCTGGAAGATAATCGGGGAACAGGAATACATTTCTTCCGAATGAAACATGGAGATTGTGCAAGATATAGTTTGTAAAAAAAAATGTCTTCAATCACAAGCAATAAAAGAATGCAAGTTAATTATTTCCATGATATGGACTACTCTATTTCCAACATATGGTATAGAGATGAGTATGATATGAATCTTCAATCACCACGCTATATATTCATATGAGAAACGGGTGAATGGCCAAAATGTGGATTACATATTAAATACTTTCTTTGATCTTAAATTAAAGCACATTTTGGTCTTTTGCTGGTTATATTTGCTGACTTTGAAACTTAACTATTATGCGTTCTTTTCTGCAAAATAAAATTTCCATTCATAAAAGGTGATACACCATTTCAATTTTAATGCACTTCACTTAATTTTTTTTTATATGTCAGAGCTTGGCTGGGTGTCCTCTGGGGGCCAGGGAAATGGCAGGTATCACATGTATATTATAGTTCGGTTTGAACAACATTTTTTTTAAGACAAAGGACAAAATGGCTGCTTCTAGCATATGATGTAGAACCTTTATTAATATTTTATTCTTGATTCCTGTTGGTTAATAGAATTTTTCCCAACCCTTTTTTTTTTTACAAAAGAAGGTTTTCTCCAGGGTTTTCAGTTTCCTCCTACCTTTTAAAGACATGCTCAGTAGGTTGATCAGTGACTCAAAACTGTGCGTGATCTTCCTACATATCCAACGCATACTCCCTCTTCACATCTCATGCTTGTGTGATAGGCTCTGGGTTGCTGTAACTCTGGTGCGGAATTAGTAGCTTTCAGCTAATGGATAGATCAATGGAAGAAGTCCATGAAGTGGTTTTCAAGCTGTGAGGAAAATCTAGCAGAAGTCAGATGAGAAACTGGTTTAAGTTTTTGAACAAGTAGTTCATGGGCTTGCTCAATGACTCCATTGGGAAAAACCTGTGTATTCAAATGTATTATTGAAGTTCCGTTTTGTATCATGATTCATAAACATGTAATGAACTAAGCAAGTTAGATTTCTAGTAGGTTTTTCATCATTTCATTTTCACGCCTCTAAACTTGGTTATTGTGTTCAACGTACTCCTTCCATTTCCATTTCATTTCAGTTTCAGTGTCACATGAATGTTAAGTTCATTGCTACATAATAACTATAAACATCCATACCTTAATTGCAGTTTTTTTTTAGTTTTAAGAATTCTTAATCCTTGTGCAGATTGTTAGTGCAGGTAAAGAGGGAGCAAAATAATGCCATAAAATCAGATTCTTAATTGCTTATCTTAATATTTTTCTTGTTCATTCAGAAATGCTTTGGAAGGCTATGATGCTCCAACTGGTGAATTAGAGTCATCTGTGTCCAGTCTTCACAACCTTGTCCACACTTTCCTCAATGGAACTAATGCTTTGTCCCATTCTGCTGCCAATGATCCCATTTTTGTGGTAAGAAAGTGAACAATTTGATCATATTTGTATTGCCAGTGTTTTTCTTTAGTCCCCTTTACATTTTGTGATTATCTGCATTGTTTCGGAAAAATTTCAGATGCCAAGAGCCTTCATTATCTTTTATTTTCAAGGCATTATTTCCTCCTCCATTAGATTCCGATATATAACAAAAGCACTGCAGCCCTCATGTGTCATTTCAGTTTCAGTTGATGTCACTTGAATATTAAGTTAATGTTCCTTTGTTCTAGTCCAGGACAACCATTGTCATATAGGTTTTACAGATAATTTAAACTATTCATGCTACTGCCTTGGAAATGCTGGTTTATCAAGACCAATTATTAGGTTCAATTAATTCATTACAAACAAGGCAAATGGAACCAGAAGACTAATTTGCTCTGTAAAACCAGGACTGAGTGCCACTGATCCATAACATGAGCTATATACTTCAAGTTCTTAGACCAGTATGTTGAAGAGAAGTGAATACTGTACTGTTGCTTTGTTTTAACTGTTGGATGCTCGTTCTTCATAGGTGCTGCATGCCTTTACTGATGCCATCTTTGATGAGTGGATGAAGCGGTTTGTTCCTCCAAATTCCAGCCTGCCTGATGAAATGGCTCCTATTGGTCATAACAGAGATTACAACATGGTACCATTTTTCCCACCTGTAACCAATGAGGAAATCTTTGTAACTTCAGAAGAATTGGGGTATTCTTATGCTGTTGATCTTTCAGGTAACTGATGTTTGATGAACTAAATTTTACTACTCAGGTGAAAAGCATTTTTGACCTATAGCTTATGATTGGAAGCTGTGTGGTTTTGACAACAGAGAAAATAATTTGGCTTACTTTCACAGAATTTGTCTTTATCGTTTGCCATCTTTACCATTTAAAATTTTTCTAAAACACTTCAATTTTCTATCAGTCTGACTTTAAACATCCTAGAATTACATCTTTCTAGAACTTTATATCTGTCATTTAAAGTCATGTTGATATATAGTGCAATTCAAATGTTTTGGGATCAATTCAAGTCAAGTCAAAGTTTATTTATCAAATGCACAACAATACGGTGTGCAGCAGTAGTTGCTGGCAATGAAATGTCTTTTTCTGCGAGCTCACAAGAATCACAAAATTCACAAAAACACAAAAATCACTAAACTGAGGTTACATTTTTTAAATTGAATAAAACTCAATATGAGTAGAGCTGTTATGTGTCCATGGTGTATGCAATATATACATGTAGTGCAGTTATGCTGAATACAGTGAAAACTGTGTGTCCATGTAGCCATTACAGGTGATTTGCTAAAGGAGCTGTAGGTTGGCTATTTACAGTAGCAGTCTTATTGCCTGGAGGTAGAAGCTGTTCCGTAGTCTGTTGGACTTGGACCGAATGCTTTGGTACCGTTTACCAGACGGCAGGACGGAAAACAGTTTGTGACGGGGATGACTGGGGTCCTTGAGAATGGACCTGGCCTTTACAGTCCCGGGCAGAGCAGTTCCCATGCCAGGCAGTGATGCAACCAGTCAGGATGCTCTCAATAGTGCACCTGTAGAAGTTGGCCTGGATATGTGACGGCATGCCGAACTTCTTTAGCCTGCGTAGAAAGAACAGGCGCTGCCGTGCTGTCTTGACCATTATGTTGGTGTGGTGGGTCCAGGTTAAGTCCTCTGAGATGTTAACTCCCAGGAACTTAAAACTGCTGACCCTCTCCTCTGCAGTCCCATTGATGTAAATAGGTGTGTGGTCTCCTCCCTGATGTTTCCTATAGTCCACAATCATCTCCTTTGTCTTACTGATGTTAAGAGAAAGGTTATTCTCCTGGCACCATGCTGTCAGGGTTTCAACCTCCTCCCTGTATGCAGACTCCTCACCATCTGTGATCAGGCCAATGACTGTTGTATCGTCCGCAAACTTAATGATGGAGTTTGAGTTATGCCTGGTGACACAGAGACACATGTTTAACACATGGCCAGAGTTAAACATTTATTTTTGCCTTACAATCAAGCAATATGCATTTGTCACTAGAAAAGTAACTGCTTAAAGTCAATGACACGCTCCTTTGTGATACTGTGCCAAGCCTTTACTGCAGTCTGTTTGAGGTCTTGCTTGTTCATGGAGTGTTAAGACTTCAATTCTGTGTTCGGCATGTAATATGCATGATATGTTGGATCTAGAAATTGACTTGCCAGTCTAGGTTTTTCCACTTTTTTTTTAGTAACTCCTTGGATGCATTGGCTGTATGTTTTGGGTCATTGCCACTCTGAATGGTGAAGTGCAGCCTACTACATATGGAAACATTTTCCTCTACATAAGCAGACGATGTTTCTGTAAATTTGATAACTTATTCTGCTACTGCCATCATGAGTTACACTATCAATATAGATGAGTGAGCCAGTTCCAGATGCAGCCATGCAAGACATTACCTCCACCATGCTTCTCAGACGAGGAATTGCTCTTTGGAACATGTACAGTTCCATTTAATGTACGTTTTGACTTTTCCATCTCTTTTGGTAAAGGTTTATTTTGGTCTTGTCTGTCCATAATACTTTGTTGTTCCAAAATTCTCCTTATTTATCTTTGTACTTCAGAGAAGATTCAAATCTTTTCTGTGGTTTGCCTGTGCTTGATTCTAATGAGAGGTTTACATTATGCTGTGTAGCCTTTGTAATTCTTCTGTCTCGGTCTGTGGATTTCGACAGCTTCAGACCTTCATTCTGTTTTTATTTTTGGTGACGACAGTTATTTTTGGGGTTTTCCTTGACTGCTGTGATAATGTTTTTATCATCAAATGCAGATGTTTTTTCTTGGCTAACTGGTAGTTGTACTTGTGTTTAATATTGTTGATTTTGGCATATGCATTTTCTGTGCTGTGGTCTTGATTTAGCTTTCTGCTTTAGTATTGCCTGCGTTCCTGTAACAGAACGTTCTTTGGTTTTCATATGATTTCAAACTGAATTCAAAGTGAGACAGGTTGCTAGGATTTCCACAGCTCTTTTACTAGTGCCTAATTACACAAGAAGAATGTCTGACTAACAAGAGTCACCTATCTGCCAATTGTCCGAACACTTTTCCTTCTTTAAAATACTGTACATTCAACGCTCTCAATTTGATTTAATGGCTTATGAAGGTAGAATCAAATTTAATTTTTTTAAAAAGTCTGTTCTTAAGAGTTGTGCTTATCAGGGTCATTATGAGGGATCATAGTGAAAATCCAAGATATTCACTGTCCCAATAAATTTTACAAGGGCTTCATGCAGCTAACATCCAGGGCGGCTCTATTGGTTGAAATTCCTCTTTGATACCTCCTAACTCTCCTGCTCTTTTTCTTTTAGATACAGATGAATCTGCTGCTACAGTGCTTCTGTGGTCTACTCTGGGTGGAGTGTTCTTGGGTCTCCTTGTTGTTCTCCTCCTGCTGGTACTGTTTTTACAGAAAAGACAAAAGAGTGGCTTTGAACCACTCATTAAAGCAGAATTCACAAACAAAAAGTACACCGAAGAAGCATAGTCATACAGTATGTTGCCAATGCATAGCTACTACACTGAGTTTTGCAAAGGTTACAATAGATTTGCCCAAGATTCTCTAAATTCACCAAAGTTATTGCAGTAGGTCACAGGTGCCACCTATACAATATGTGTCCTCAAGCGCCCCCAGTGTTTTTAATCATGTTGTTAAAGAAGGGGTGAATGCGTTTTTCCTTTGAGTTTGGGAGATTACCATAGGATTCAGTTTGCGCAGTTTAAATAACTATTATTATCCTGTTATAAAGTCTTGTACTTTTGTAGTCAGGTTATTTGACTGTTAGTTAACATCTATATGATTAATTTGATTTGACATTTAATAATTTTAACTGATGTTCAGATTAGAAAAAGTTCTGGTCAGAAAATGTTTTAGTGCAGGATGATTGCTTGTAATCATTGAACTTCACTAGAGACAGATTTCAGAAAACAAATATAATTCTGAGAACTAGCCCTACAAACACCACAAACTTCAGTATTTGCACTTAAAATGACTTCTGGAAGCGTAACAGGAAGCAATCTGCCATATGCTTAGTGCTCTTGACAAAGCTGGCGCCAGTACTGGAGTAAAACGTAAGCACGGCAGGACATTTCAGTAAAAGTGTTCTCATGGCTCATCTTTCATACTGAATAATTTTCTATACAGGCAGAATCTGCATTAATCTGTATTAATTGGATTGGATGAGTGGCAACAGAAATGTTTCTGAAGCATGAATCGGTTGCCATAAAGTTTCTAGAACAATAATGACCATGCAAAATACATGTAGTAGGTTCTGCATAAAGCAAAATGTATTTCAAGGCTTCACATTCACAGAGATTCTGTTTCACTGAAAACTAGAGATGTTATAAGTAACAGAAGCACATGTTTTCCTCAACATGGTCATACTGTTAATGAGGGCTTCAGAAATGCGAAGAAGGGCACCCCCAAGATTTTTGAAAAGTTGGCATCTGCTGTATGCAGTAGGTTGGTTTTGGATCACTACCATGCCCAGGTTCCATATTCTAACTGTTACTGATTTCTTTAAATGAATCAAGTTCCTATACAGCATCATATATGAATGCTTAATATTGATGCTGATAGAATCTGGAGAGATAAGAATGTCAGTCCTAATTGATTTTTGTTAATATGATTTGAACAAACCACCTTCCCTACAGGATATCTATTACACTTTACAAAGATCTGTTAATCAAGGACCTCTTGTGTATGTTTTGAGTATTATTTGTTAGACTGATGTTTTTGTTAGACTGGGGTTTTGTGCAATTAAATTTGTTTGAAGAATAAACAGAATTGAAGGGCTTTTTGATTTGTCTGTTGTGGTTTGTTGTGCTCTGAATGCTAATGTAAATGCCTTTGTAAAAGGCACAAACTCAAACTTTGTGTTTAGCATTTTATTTTTTTTCAAGGCATAGTAACAGCTGCATGTTTGTGACATTTTAGTGTTTATTACAGGGGATCTGATGGTAACTGCCTCTCTGCGGTCATTTACTGTAGTAATGGCTTGTATTCTGGAGCTTTAAAATGCGTTCCAATACCTGCTGTTACCTTGTAATGGGTTAGTAGAAATCCTGCTGGAAAATGTCACCTCACATGACATCTGAACACCGAAGATCTCTATTTCTGCTGTCATGTCATAGGAGTACAAATATGTTTTTTGGCTTTTTTCCCATTCCTTATTTTTTTTTTTTAAATCAAGACTTAAGCCCTTCATTTTCAATGGTACTGTATTTGAGACACTTTGGAAAAACAAGTGAAAGCTAGATTATGACTTGTTGAGCATTCAGTAGTTGTATTATCTGCTTTAAATTTTATTTGGTGTTAATTCTATGTGATTTTAAAGTAATAGTTTTATTTCACAAAGATTCTAAGATATTAACTTTTTAAAATAACAGTGTAGTTTGAGCTTTGGCAAGTGCTTTTATTTTGTATGCCAGTTTCTCTTCAAGTTGTCAAACAGATGAAAAAAATAATTATTGAAACTTTTCCAGTCAGGCAGGGAAACAATATCTTTACTGTTACAGAACATATGGGAATATAAATATATATTGCAACATTTAGAAATGTACCACATCTTCACCTCTGATTATTAATTATGCAACACCACCCAGTTAACCTGTATGACTCTGATGTTAAGAAAAGTTGTGATATGCATGTAAAATACATCCCTTGTTACTTCCTGAATATGGAATGAAGTATGTCTGGTTAGAAAACACAGTGTACTGTGGCTCAGTTGGGAATGGTAGGGTGCATCCATACAAGGGAAGCAACAAAAGGTTCTCTGAAAGTATTGTCAACAGCAGTGATATTCCCTTGCACGGGTTTCCTTTTACATCATAAAGTATGAGACCAATTCTCCACCTATTGTTACAGCATCACCTATGTTTAACATGATCCCTTCATCCAACATCATAATGTCCCTCACTGCCTGGCAGGTGTCATTCTGTACTTTCCTCTCCAATCTCAGATTAACTTCTTTCACTGGTCTGCTGTATCACTGGATTAGATGAAGCACCTGTGGTCAGATACATTTGACAGAGTCCAACCACAGTCTAATAATAAGAATGTGAACTATGTCATCTGGTCATGACAGATCTCTTTGACATTCTTGCTTTCCATTTTCATTCTGTCATCTTTGTGCGTCTATGTATATTTGTATTTTTGTTCTCAATCGGATTCTGGCAAGGGCCAAAATCGCTGACTAGAAATCAATATTGTATTTCTTCATGTGCGCTTTTGTCATATTTACTTTGATTATATCTTATCAAACTGACCCAGCTCTTGTTTTTGGATGTCATCCCATGTCCGGGGAAAAATAAAGATCGTTGGTACGTTTTGACTTTATCTTGTCCGCTTAATTCTAACCAAGATCCAGTCTGGGGAGACTTTGGTAAAAACTGGATGAACAAGGGTGCAACAATGCTTGCTCTTGCTTGACTATGCTCAACTCTTCCTCTTTCATTGAGGGAGATGAGAGCCTTCTTTGGGAGCCAGGATTCTGTCAGTCAAACAGCATAACCAGCCCTACAGAACAGATAGTATGATATGGTAGCTTGAATGCTTGTTGTGTTGGCTTGAGAGAGAACAATGTTTGTGCATTTGTCCCACTTCAAATGTACAGTAAAAATAGGACTGTAGTCCTTATATGTTTGTTCTATATGTGGTCCATGTTTGAGTCCGCTGCAGTAAAGTAGAAAAGATGACTGCATGACAAACCCTCAGTCAGGTTTCAGTTAAAATATCTACTTTCTCCACCAAGGTCTGCACTTGCAGCACTCAAGTGATGGATTTCCACAGCAGTTTATCCCTTCTGTGATGTATGACTCCCAGTGTACTCTGCATTCATCAGATACTCATCCTGAATTTGAATGACTGGCACTGGAGTGTGTGCATTTGGATTTTGTTTATGGAGAATTTTGGTCTTCTAAATATTAAGTCAAAGTCTCAATCTCTCATATGCCTCAGGATATATGTTGAGAATTGCCTGGAGATCTATTTCTGTCAGTGCAGGTGCATTTACAGAGGTATTTTTTCAGTCTATGTCATGCCGCTTGCTTTCTTGAAACCAGCAGTGGGCACATCAAGTATTGATCATCTATGCAATTGTACTGTACTTGACTTGAATGCATCATGTAACCCATACAGCATGTGACTTGAATTTTTATCTGCATTTTCTATTTTACATAAATACATGAATGCATTCAGTGCAACAAGCACGTATTTACGACAACCAAATACCAGAGTTCTGTAAGAAACGTTCAGAAAAGAGCTCAGAAGTATTCCATAATTTAAAAACATGCAAGTCAGCCAGATCAAGCAGACTTAATTTTTAATAAATGTTTATTAGCACACCTTCATTATTTGTCTGTATACAAGAAAGAGTAACAAAACCCAAATGCAAACCATTATAATTGTTTTAAAAAAATTGTAAGGCATGTCTGCTTGTACGACTTGTAAGCCGTGTGGTATTTGAACCATACTTGCTTAAATCAGTTCCACAGTAACTTTTCTTTTCGAGCAGTGCTCTAGATGCTGCTGTGCACAGTAAAATGTCATTGTATGGATTTCCTAACCAATTGTAATGTAGTATATTTTTTAACATGGCTTTTCAAAATGAATATTTCTGCTGATGTAAAGAAACCTATTTTTTTAACAAGACAAAGCAACATTTTTGTAAATCACTCATTCCAGATGTAATGTAAACGAAAAACGCTTGCTAAATCAGTATAGTAAATATTTTATATAAAGCAGTTTATTAATCCTATTCATTTTTTGTTTTCTGGATCATTCACACTGCTTCAGTCCCAGTGTGAAAGTCATAATCAGTTACAAATAAACATATTTTATTTATTTCTTCTAATGCTTTTGCTCTCATTAACCAACATATGTGTTACCCGTCATTCAGGCAGTAGTTTGAAATAGATTGGTAATGAGAAAACTAAAAACAACCACAAATCCAGCCTAGACATGATACACAAAATGTAAAGATAATTTTATAGTTCCAATGAATTATTTAGCATTAGATGGAAAACCTAAAGGGTAAAGAATGTGGTTTCAAATAATTATTTTTTTTAATTCTATTTTAGAGCTGCTAGCTTCTGTGTGATGTTTGAACTTCTGGAATAGGAACTCCACTCTTGAGATTACTTTTCCGCTGGCTTTCATTTCTGAAGAAAAAGCCAACTTCAGTAATTCAACCTCTTCACAGTCACTGCTCTTGCTGCACTGTTGAATATTCTTACTGGTGCATTCAGCCTTTACTCTGTTGTCACTGCCACTTGAATTTCTCATTTCCAGCTCTGCTATGCCTTTCAGCTTCACCACTGTTCAGTGGCATTAGAATTAGAACCACACTGCATCTTCTTTCCTTCTTTTTAAAAGCACTTTACTAACCTGCACAGTGTTGTACAGTCTGCATTCTATATCACCTGCTGAAGTCACTCCACACCTTCTATTTTTTTAAGCCTTCCCAATTTTCCTTCTGCTAGCTTTCTGCCCACAGAACTGTGGTGTCAATTGCCAACAATTATAGTAATAGATGGAAGTGCTACAAAATGTTAAAAAAAGGTTCTCCTAATCTCTCTTTAAACTATTTGTATAGCATGACGACCACATTTTGTTTTTAATTTAAACTTAAAACCTTTAAGCATTTTATTAACGACAATGTAACACTTTACACATGTAAGGCAGATATGGACTGCAAATGTATTTATCTATAAAGCAGTGAGCAGTAGCACATAAAGGAAACAACGTGTTGCTTACAAGTCCAAACAAAATGTTACATGTCCACCTGATGCTTTGCAGGAGCCAGATGAAGCTCAACATCAGTTTCTGATGTAAGATGGTTCAGAATCTTTTCAACACTGCCTCGAAAATATCTGCCACTTTTAAACCAAACAAACACTTGAAAAATGACTTCATATAATAGGAAGGAAATAAAATGTCACTTAACACTTGTTTCTGCATTGGAAAAGCTATGACATCAGAAAGATTGCTTCGGGTTATTTCTGACATAAGCTGTTATCTTTTAGTGTTGAAATTGCATCTCACAAGATTGAACAAAGAGCTGTATTTCACATGCTCTCAAGTGTTAGCAATCAAAGTGGTGTTTGTTGTTGAAAACATTACCTACTATTTGGTGAAATATTTATATAGAAAATATAAGACTTCTGATCAAGAATTGAGGTGGACTTTTAAATTTTCTGCACAGCTTATAGATGACTCTTCATTGTGGCACACCTATTGTATAAATCCATAGTGAATAGCCTGTGACACAAAAGAGTTATTTTTATTTTTTTCAAATCTCTTGCCAGGCTGGAAGGATTGTTATTATTTGGACACAAACACTTGTTTTCCCTTGGATAGCTGGATGGATAAGTGAATTAGTAAGAGCAAGTCTAGCATGTGCAGTTAAAAAAACGGTTGACAAAACACTTCACATGTTTACAGACATGTCAACCCTGAGCTAATAGATAAAAGTTAAAATCTGTGATTATAAAAATAGATGATTAATACTAAGACCAAAAAGGTGAAATAAAGTTCTGCTCCCATTTTGTTAGGTTACATTCTCCAGCTGAGCAGCATGATTCCTCTTTTAAAAAATACATGTATTAAAAGGTTTTCATATTCAGCAGCACAGACCATTGTTGTGAGCATGCTCAGTGTCAGCAAGGAGAAACGACTTGAGGAAAAAAGAGAAATGAATTGCTTTCTGAGGTGTGAAATATACCAAGGGCCTAATTCAAACAACAAACATGCAGTTTCCTTTAACAATGGCTCAGGTGCTGCTTGGGAAATTCTGATACTCTTGGCTTCATTCAAAGCACACCCAAAAGGCTGGAGGTAAAGTCTAATGGCTGGGCATTTTCCATTTTTCACTTCAATAAGATCAGTAATTGCTACTCATTGAATAAAAACCTATTATAAATAACTTTTTTTATGAAATACCAGTAGAAAATAAATTGCATTTAAAGTAACAGAATATAGCCATTAGCAAAACAATGATTAGATATGAGCTGTCCTTTATTAAAAGCCAGTAAATAATAATGTAAAAAACATGTATATTATATACAGTATATACTGTACATTGACACAGTACAGTACACATTGTGTATCTTAATCACTGTTCATAGGTTTTAGGAAAACTCAGTTGGAACTTTTTCCAACTTCCAAGTTGCTTTTCTATACCAAGTTTTAAAAGGCTGGGCAAATCTTGTTGCCTCACAATTCCTATGTCCTGGGTCTAATTCCTGTCTGGGTGCTTTCTGTTTGTAGAATGGATGTTCTCATCTGCTTTGCACCTTTTTTTTCCAGATGCTCTGCTTTCCACCCACATGCTAAGACATGCCGGTTACATCAGTTGGTTTCTGTAGATTTATTCTTTTATGATATATTTCTGCCATTCACCCTTTGCTACTGGGTTAGGTTCAGGGTCACTACAGCCCTTACTAGAAATAAGTGGCTTTCTGGTAATGAAAGCATGGATGATGCAGATGCTTGAAGTTAACTTTGTTAAAATGTCCCTTTATCAAAACAATCGCTTGAGGTTTTATAGTATATGTAACCCCCCCCAAAAAAAACACCATATTTCCCATATCTAAAATTAGATTGGGGCTAGATTTAGAAGTCTTGAATATCAGACAGCTCATATCTTTAAAGTTGTTACTCATGACTTTTCAATGCATTCTCACAGTGGTACATTAGAGGTTTGCTTAGTTTTTTTTTTAGATTTTTACTTTTTTGTGGAAGCTTTTTTCCTGGGGAATTGAAAAGACTTCTTGGGCAATGCTTAAATCTGTAAGACCTCAACATTTCTCCATATAAAAGAAAAAAAATATACATTTTTTTTCTTTAAAATAATGTCTTGAATAGTAAGTTGTTCTCCAGTAGAACATCTTCTGAAAGAACTGGAGGAGGAGAAAGCAGTTTGGCTTAAGCTGCTTCAAGATGGCACCAAGCATTCTTTGGAAATGGGGAAGCAGGTTGTAGCACTGCACTCTCTTTTTGAAAAAATCTGTTTTAACTGCCAAGATTGTAGTCCTGTTTCAGGTGTGAATAAAACAGCAAAGCCCGCTGTCCATCAACATGGTTACGAGCATTATCTCCATTGCCTCTGTAGTGCAAACAGCGTGCATGTCAAGACTAAGGTCAGTAGTAGAGAGTAGCTTGGTCTGATGGCTGAAGCCTTCTCTTCACTCTTGTCTGCACCAACTGCGGGAGCTTCTGTACTGACAAAGTCAAACTCCGTAACACAAGCCTCAGTACAGCCACTGCCACTTCCTGAACCACTGCCTTCATCACCTGTAAAGCAGCATTAATAACAAATGGAGTTATAAACATTTAGTAAAAATAAAGGCTTTTACAGCTACATTTTCAGCAAATTGAAAAGCCTGTCAATAGAGTGATTGTGTATCACCAGGGTATATAGCTGCCCCTTTTATTGATTCTAGTCATTCTAACCCATTATTTTTTTTTAATTTCAGGCCATTGTGTAGGTTTTCAACTATTCTTATCTATATACCTAGATTCATTTCAATGAGAAAAGTATTTGTTCAAGGCTTTTCACAAAAAGTGCAGATCAAGAAATTGTTCTGTCCACTTCCATTATTTTTATGTTTATATCCCTCCTGAAAACAGTCGTTTTCAGCATATTGAGAACGTGCTTTACACCTTCTGGAGAACCAGATGAAAGTCATATCAGGATATTTAAGGGCTTATCATGTGTTTCTCTTAAGTCCAGGAAGTGGCTGTAGATTGTAATATGTTTGTACACTAAATCATTTGGAAAAATGATATTTGTGATGGAACAGATCCAGAACAAAAATTAGATATGGTTGTGTTTCATGCTACATTTTACCAAAAACTACTACCTGTACTTGCAAGGGTTTTAAATCCAATAATATGCTGGAATACTAAAACAACTGAAATTTGTTCAGCTATAGTCAGTTTAACTTGTTGTAAAAATAAATATGATTTCTGTTCATGATAATGATACATACTTGCATCCTGAAAATTGACATCATTCCCATTGTATGCATTTTTCAGCTTGTTTGTCATTACTCGTAGTGCCATAATCTGCTGACGAATGAAGGTATCTGGTCTTGTGATGTCCACCTCAACTTCCGGGTTGTTCATTTGGTTTGTGAGACCATTGTTTAAAACTTCGGGAAAGTACCTGCAAGAAAAGGAATAATTCATAATTTGTTCATAGCAAGGTGAAAACAAAAGAAGGACAATTCAACTGCAACAATACTCGTCTGATAGCTCTTGGGGTCATTGTATTCAATCTCTTATGAAATAAAAAAAAAAACTTCAGATATCCCAAATATGTTTCACTGCTTATACTACATTTGAGCACATGCAAAAGGCAGAAATCCAGGATAATTTTTTGCAAATATTTTGTGGTCATCATACTGTACATCTTTTTAAAGCCAGTAATAATTTAAATAGATTTCTATTGTCAGATAGAGTTATGTTGTCACATTCCAGAATATTAGGGATAGAAAATACAAAATAAAGTGTTAATTACACGGCTGCAAAGAACTAGATTTTATGACCTTAGAACCACTTTTTTCAGACAGGCCCCAAGTGTTTAGGATGCCACTCACACGAGCACTGGTTTTTCAGATTTGGTTGTTGTAATGGCCACATGTAGCCTTTCTGTTGCAATGGGAAAGTATTTCAGGTATATGCTTTTTATTCTATATGAATCTATATTCAATAGATTTGTCAGACCCAGTCACATGCATGTTTAAAAAAGGCTCCATACTCAATAAGTTTGATTAAAAATATTTTTTTCTTATTTCAAAGGTTTAAGACAGTACAACCCACCAACAAGTGTGTACCTGCTGTTTCCGAGGAACATCTCTATCACTCACGGTTTTCCTTCAGATTAGGTTTAAAAATTCTTAATGGTGATCAGAGATATCTGCTGAATAAATTACAGTTAGCTTATGAGCTAACTTCACTACATGTCTTAAAGCAGTGCTTCCAAATTACTGACCTTATCTTGTTTTGGATATTTATAGTGTGTATATGTAACTCAGAATTCAATTTTGTTTTAAGAGGATCATGTACAGTAAATGTGCTGATTCTTCATTCAAGTACCCATTGATTTTGGATGCTACATTTTTATTTTATTATGAAGGATACCGTCATTAATTGGTTAGGTGGGACAATGGAATTCAGAAGCCTTCTCTTATGAGAATTGGAATTGTTTTTACTGGGAAAGCTTCAAAACAATGTTAAGTTCTACTCTGAATGGACATTTCGTTTTTGACAGTAATCATTATTATTAATAATTACACAGTTGCTTTCACAGCACTTGGGTCCTGGGTTTGATTCTGCCCTGGATTGCCTTCTGTGTGTTTTGCACATTCTGCCCATGGCCTTGTGAGCTTTCTTTGTAGTGTGCAGAGGAATGGGATGTTTCTCAGAGGATTATCCCATACAAGGTATATTCTACTTGCACTCACAGTCTGCTGGGCTAGGCTCTGTCTCACAAAGACCCTGTATTGAACTAAAAGAGTCATTGAAAAGAGATGGATTATTATTAATAATAATTGCCTTTTATAACATTTTTTCAATTCTTGGAACCTACTTTACAAATAGGAAAGGACTGACTTCCTTCACCTCTGAAGTGCAGCACTCACCTAGGTTACAAGCAGCATCCATTATGCACCAGCTGCCCCATTACACAGCAGGTCAGGTGAAGAAAAACGTGAAATTGCTTCATCAGTCGAGCTATGCAGAAGCCTTAGGTTGGTCAGATTGAGCAAACCCACAGATGAATTTAGCTAGTACATGGAGGGTTATAGCCTTACACTTATGAACAGTACAATGTTTAGTGACAAAGTAGTCAGGTCCCTGAGTGGTTTATCCACTCATCTGAAAGACCCACATAGCCAGCATCACAGAGCTCGAGTTACCGTACTGGGATACTGGCCTGGTATGTTGCTCCAGGGGGAAGATTGCTACCTATTGTACTATATTTAGCACTACGACAATTTTGGTAAGATAAAATGCTTCCATTGCCTCCTGTTACCAATGGTAAAAGTGAGAATGTAGTACTGTATTTCAAAAATTTTGTTTAACAAATGTTTATATTGTTAAAAATGGGCAATAAAATGAGAAAGTTACTTTCAGGATCAGAAGATAAATGTACAACATTATGTTGCATAGTTTTCTTATTCATGTATAACCACACTTCATTCTGTTATAAGAAAATAATAAAAAATAGATTTCCTTCACCCAATGATGATTAGGTTAGCTTGCTTCCCTCTCAGTTAAATCTATAGGCTCCCTGCAAAAATGCCATATCACAATCTAGTTTTCTTAGATGATTTAAAATCTATTTTCATTTTATCTTATTTGTGCCTTTAACAATCCATGAAATTAAAGTGATTTTCAAGCTATCCATTATCTACTTTATCATCACATATCTCTTTAAGTTTGATTGTCATAGTTTCTGAACCACAGCAGTTATCTGCCAGACCTCAGAATAAGAGAAACTGTTTGGCACTCTGGCATTTTAGCTAGAGGCACATGATTTAACAGCACCTGTGTCTGAAGTACTGTTATTAATAATATAAATTGATAAAATTTGACTTAAAATTATAAAAAAGTTATATGAATGGCAAATCTGACAGCAATTAATTAAGACTTAATTAATTATTTATATGAATGTATGTTATCTAGTGACATATCAAAAAATATTTTTGGAACACATAACACTCAGTAAAGTTGACTGCACTGTAGCGGCGAGGCTTATTAATAAGGCATTATTAAGTGTTTCTGAGCTTTCCCAAATGAGGCCCCATTTCTCTGTTCATCTCTGTGGTGCAGCCACAGAGAAACTATTCA